TCGGTTTTCAGGAGCTGTGCAAACCTCCTCACTCAGCTGAGAAAACGCACGTGTTCGAAGATCAACTGTACACAGCAAAGGGATGTCAATGGTGTTGAAGTCAAGCTCTGGGTGCAGAGCAATTATGCACTGAGATCGAAATTGAAACGATGAAAGACCACAAAAGACTAGAGAGCATTGCCTGACAACCAACGATTATGGGTAATCAATTCTACCCCATCCATAAAAAAGACATGTAGCCACAAGAAGGCGGCCGCACGCCATCGAGAGCAACATGTGACTCAAATCAAAGCTTGCATCGCGTCGGCTGGTACTTGCTGCGGCTGCAGCGATTTCGGGCAACACCTTTCAAAGTGGAGCCGCAACTTGCGGCCAGGGGCTGGCTTATTTAACAGTTGATCGCTGGCGTTGGTCTAGAGGTCGGACGTCACCCTCAGCTCCGTCTCCTCCGTAAGAGCGTACGTGGCAGTAAACAGAGTACCGGACATCTTGATGTCTTTCTTGTTGACCTTCGATGCGGCTCTGTCAGAAATAAACAGTACAATGTAAAGTTCCAGGTGGTCAAAAATTGTGGACCAGAAGCCCGCGCTCGAGACTCCTCAAAAACAGACTGCCGAATCGAGTACCTACAAATCTGTGTAACATCTTCCGAATCCGAGACTCTGATGGTGAAGATTCAACCTGTAAGGTTGATTCTGTTTCCATCTACGTGCGAGGACTTGTCTGAAGCGCGTAGGTTCGCGCGCGCGTTGGGTTAATGACCTTTGTCTTAATGAACGCCGCACACTAACATTGGAAACTTCTACATATTCTTGCAGTTGATGTACTTCATAATTTGCTGCGACCTGCTCCATGTATGGAGCTTCGCCAGAACTCTGATCTGGTTGGTCGACAGCAAGAACAAATCTATCCACGAAATCCGCACTTGCTTGCTGACAAGCCTGGACAAGGCCCCCAGGTTGCTGTATAGCACTCTGATCGGGAGGAGCTTCCTTCTGACCTTCCTCAGGGAGGTCAGTTGCATTCCAGACAGCTTGATGCGGATATTTATCCATTACACCCACGCGATCAAGGTGATCTCGATCATGAAGAGATGCCTCCTCCACAATCAAGTATTATTGGATCATAGTCGGCAAAATCAAGCGGTGTCATTGGTCCAATATCATTTTATTAAGTGGCCTGGCTTAGCAATTCAGCTCCTGTTCGTTCTTAAATCCCACATTTAGCCCTACACACCCTAGCTTAGGACCAGCCTTTAAAGGTCAGATTGGCCAGAACTTTGGAAAGGCACAATACATGGACTCTAAGCTGTACGACAACCCTTCGATGTTGGCACAATTGACATTCTCATTTGTGTCTCGAGAGATACGGAAAGGGCGCATTGCTGGATGTATCAGTGCTTGTAAAGGCGCAGCGCTATGTCAAGCCATGGAGAAAGTTGGACAAATCTGATGGGATGGCTGCTGTTCTGGAGATTTTCAGGCTTCGGATGTATGATTTGAAGGAGACGGATCGAGATCGTAGCTCATTGGTAGTTCTTTGCGATTCGACGATAGAAAATGGTTGTGTCGAGCCCTTGTTAGGAAGGGGCTCTGAAGGTACCCCACTTCGGATTATATTGACAAGTCTGCAGCTATTAGAACGCTTTGTTGAAGTCCAACAAAATCCTGACATGGCAACTGTATTGCACTTAAATAGCCCACACAGTGTCGCTAAGCAGGAGTACCCTGTATCTGTGATGACATTAAAGATTGCAGCGGAGGGTTCATGCCCGTCGTGTACTGTTGTGTTTCCCAACGCCGCGAGGAAGATATTTTCTGGTGTCTCACATACTTAGCGCGTGTGATTTTGAAGCAATTGCGTTTGTAATTTAGTCCTGATTTTGTAATGATGGACGCTGACTGTGCAGAGTGCAATGCATGTGTCGCTAATATTCCAGCTAATGCCTCTCTGATGTTTTGGTTTTATGTCACGCAGAATGTGCACACACACTGCCGAGATACAAAGTTGGATTTGGTGTCGAAGCATCTCATTTCCCGTGATTTGTGCAATTTGTATTTAGCGAAGGATGATGAACATTATTTGCGGAAACGTGCTTTCGTATTCACGTTTTAGAAAGGGGATGCTGCATTATGCACCCGATTCTCTCTAGTAGCTAACCACATAATCAAAATGTGTTTATTAAATCCTAGATCTCCTCGGTGGCAAGCGTACCAAACCCCAACCCGATACCAACCACCCGTTAGAAACCTACCACTACACTATCAAACAAGTAAAAGCATCAAACGAGCAACCCTAACAGAATTGGTATCCTGGTTAGATCTTTCGCGAGTTGTATACGGGTCATCCTCGTCTCCGTTTGCCACAGAAACCAAAGTATCTAAACGGATGAAAGCCGCGTACCGACGTGCGAACAAATCCAAAGTTTTAGCAGCTTCTCTTGTCCACCAAGTCCACAGTCGTGATTTGGTGCTTGTCCGCATTTTTCATGGACCGGGCGCTTCAGCTGCACAGATGCCTACGCCTATGGACATACCGGTAGCGATGAAGTTGATGTTTTGCCTCGCGACAAGGCCTCGGATGCTGGTCGGTCATACAAATCCGCTAACCATGCTAGGATAATGTGGCAGGACATGCCGAGCGGTGGGTGGATAGTAGATACGATCGGCAGGACTTGCATGTGCCCAATTTGGTGGAGGTATGGAATCTGTTTCCATGTTATCAAGGCAACCCAGTTTATGAGTTGCCGTGTCCTGGTATGCCTAAGCCAAACCCAAGATTCGTATCCCCGGCATCGAACAAAAGTGGGTCGCGTGTTTTGCAAGCCCGCGAGAAACAGGGTCAGGAGGCAGCCGAGATCGAGCCCGGCGCGATTGTATTTGGACCACTGACACTACAAGACCATCGAGAGATACATCTCAACGCGGCAGCGACTAACGCTGTCGGTGCCGATTCAGTCTACACATATATAAATGTCACAGGCGGCTCCGATTTGGTCTCAAGGGTACCTTTTAGCAAATTAAGGGCTGAATGGCCAGTATTTGCCGGCCATTTACCCTTACGTAAGGTATCCACAACAGATCGATTTAAAATCTAATATGGGCTACTCATTAGACATACGCTGGCGAGGCAAGAGTATGTGAGCATGCTATTGCTGGGCCAGATCAAATCGTGTTTGTCGATGAAACTTCAATGGATGGAAGATATTGTACAATATCAATTTTGTGACTGCTACATCTTACCTTGTTAATTTGCTGTATGGTATTGGTATGGTTTAGGTCCTCCCTGAGAAAACACGCGTGGTCCAGTCAAATATGGCATCGTCTTTTTTTTTCGTCAAAGGGTTAGGCTAAATTTTAGTCGGATGCACCCGATCAGATAGGAGGGCTTCCATCCTGCTACGTAGGACCATAAAACTGAGGGCGTTTTGGCAGAAAGGCACAATATTCTTTCATCTCTCGTGTTAACTTAGCTTTGACTGGGGACGGAGGTGCCTCATCGGTGATTGTGTGTGTGCCTTGACTCAGCAAAATTGTGAAATCAACTTCCTCGCATGTTAACTTCTTGTAGCGAGCCTTGCATTTTCACCAGATGCTATGCAGCCCTTAAAGGCTCACTTCGTTAGCTTGCATCGAGTCTCGTGCCACATCTCAGCCAATCAATCTTCTCCACGTCAACATGATTCATTGTGCAGTGCGTTCGATTATTTTCATCAGTTGTATACCTAGGTAGCTGTTCTTTGATTTCTTGATATCATCCATCATCACCACGTCTCTACACCTCACGCCAAGGAAGGCGTCCACGACGACCCGCGCCGCTCTCTGCCATTGTAGAAGAAGGGTGATGTGTATATGTTTAGACAGTGAAAAGCGTTGGGTTTGTTTCTTAAATGCTATAGTAAGATCGTAGCATGGATTGCATGCATCGGTTGCGAATTCTTTTGCATAGGCGGTTTGCTCCTTTGTTTCTGTGTTGCAACTACTAACAATGGTGTTTAATATTTATATTAGAATATGTGCTTCTTTTCGGATTTTGTGAAGAAAGGCAATGCCTTTAAGGCATACATGTATTAATACCAATACATGTTTTACCAATCCTTTGTACAGTGGTACAGAAAGTCTACGTCCAAACAGCTGGCGAGATCAAATCCTGAAGTTTTGAGTAGTGTATTGATCCAGCCAATCAATGCAAAATATCATCGAAAAGCGCAGACTGGAGCGAATCAGAAGCTATTTTCACTTTGACGAGACGATATTTGCATCGCAGGTTATGGGGCAAGTGGGAAAAAAGAGGACAAAAAAGTCAACGTCCAAGCCACTCATTCTGCGTTTTGCCATGACTGGCACAAGGTAAGAGTCAAGCAAGAACTGTCCAACCCACCTGCGTCAAGTGTGGACGACTTGAAACAGAAAATCCAGGAGTTTTGGTACGATATCGAGCCGAAAACCGTTCAAGATCTTTACCACTCCATGACGAAGCGCCTACTTCAAGTTAAAGACAACCGAGGGGGTCACACGAAGTACTAAAGGTGCGTGAAAGCTTCAGATAGTGTTCGTATGGCTACTACTACAACATGGAATGCAAAAGTGTTAACAGCAGCTCCTAAAAGTTGAGAATAACAAAATAGACTTTCATTCTTTTGCCATAATTTTACTTCTTTTTTGTTTGAGTGGGCTCAACTTCTAACAGCTTCTGTTAATCTGGTCAAATGATAGTTTGTTGGAAAGTCTTCACGTCAGGCATTCATATCATGCATAGTAACCAATCTAAATACCGCCAGGGACCAAACGCCGTGGGCCAACGTGCTCAAGGAGACGTTGGACGTAGACTTTCTGTACCCACTGTACAGTACGAAGGAGTTCTGTCCCATACTGAGCAAATTTTAGGCATAAATGTGCAGTTTCAGTTTTTGGCTCAGAAAAAAAGTAAAAGGTCAACCAAAAGCATCATTGAAATGACCTTCTCCACCAATCAAAACGAATTGCACGTCATTGCTCAAGATGTTGTCTCGAAGTGTGCGGTGCCGGCGTCTGAGACTTCTGCGCTCATTGCATCAGCCGCGTGCGGGGCTAGCCACGGTCCCCATACGCGATGACCGTATTGCTCATTGGACGCAGGAGCTGGAGCGACAACAGGCTGCTCAGGAGCAGGCGCTTCAAGCCGCTTTGAGCCGAGCCGAGCCGCTAGAATTGGCTGTGCAATCTCCGACGGGAGATACCTTCGCTTTTAGCGGCATCGCAGGCGCCTCCACGTCCATCGACGTGCTCAAACAGATGCACGAGCTGGGACTGCCCAAGTTTAAAGCACTGGCATCCAAGAACCAGGACACGGGCGAGATCCTCGACCTGCGTGCGCCACTTCAGCCGGGAACGCTCCAATTGCTCGAGTATGATAACGTATTACTTCTCTTCAAGTGTTTGCAATATGTTCTCTAACTGTAAGTTGATTGCAGCTTCTCGAGTGACGAAGGCAAGAGCGTTTTCTGGCACTCCTCGGCCCATGTGCTTGGCCAAGCACTCGAAGACAAGTATCAGGACAAAATCCGACTGACTGATGGCCCGCCACTTAAGGAAGGAGGTTTCTTCTACGAAATGTTCTTGCAGGACGGACTTACAGTGTCCGAGACGGACTTCGACGAGCTTTCTCGCAGTATTAAGAAGATCGTCAAGGCCCGACAACCTTTCGAACGACTCCAGGTGACGCGTGAGTTCGCAGATAAACTCTTCGCTTACTCGGACTTCAAAAGAGACATGCTGCATAAGATTCCAGAGGGTGAGGCCATCTCACTCTACCGCTGTGGCCCACTCATCGACTTGTGTCGTGGTCCTCACGTCCCTCACACGGGTACGTGCATTGTGTATTGACTACATTTTGGACTGTTGTGTGCCACATTACAAGAGAGCAGTGGAGAGTTAAGTATCTGCTCTCTTGGCTATTTATTTATCACTGGGTCCTATAGAAAAACTCTGTCAATGAACGACTCTCCACTCTCGTAGTGAGTGTTAACGAGCTACACGTTGACAGATATTACATCTATGTTCTCTACATAGAGTGAAAAGTATATTAGCTAACATTTTTTATTCTACTAGGAATGCTGTCATCTTTCGAGATCACGAGATGTGGAGCGTCCCACTGGGAAGGCAAGGAGTTGCTGCAGCGTGTGTACGCTATCTCGTTCCCTAACAACACACAGCTTAAGGAGTGGCGTCATCTGCAAGAAGAAGCCAAGAAGCGCGATCACCGTCTCATTGGTCGAGCTCAGCAGCTCTTCATGTTCCACCCACTCAGTCCTGGCTCGTCCTTCTTCCTGCCCCACGGTACTCGAGTGTTCAACACACTGGCCGACTTTATCCGCAGAGAATACCGTCGTCGCGGATACGACGAAGTCATCACGCCGTTGATTTTCAAGAAGGAACTATGGGAGACGTCCGGTCACCTCCAGAACTACCATGACGACATGTTTATGGTCTCTCAGGGTATTGCCACGGACGACGCGTGTGAAGAGCATGGACACACGCATTCACACGGCGAAGAAGAGTACGATCAGTTCGGATTGAAGCCCATGAACTGCCCCGGACACTGTTTGTTGTTCCGCGAGGCGAAGAAGTACTCGTACCGAGAACTTCCAGTGCGTCTCGCGGACTTCTCGGCGCTTCATCGTAACGAGGCATCTGGCGCTTTGACGGGCCTCACGCGCGTTCGACGCTTCCATCAAGACGACGCTCACATCTTCTGTACTGCTGCTCAAGTGCAGTCGGAGATGTCGCTTGCTCTGGACTTTATCAAGCACGTGTACGGTATCTTCGACTTTAAGTTTAACCTACGTCTTTCGACACGTCCGGAGAAATATATGGGCGACCTGGAGCTCTGGGATGACGCGGAGGATCAACTACGTTTGGCTCTGGATGACTTTGGCCAGCCCTGGACGGTGAACGAAGGTGACGGTGCCTTCTACGGCCCCAAGATCGATATCGTAGTGACGGATGCTTTGCAGCGACAACATCAATGTGGCACGATCCAACTGGACTTCCAACTGCCAATAAACTTTGAGCTCGAGTACGACGGCGCTGATGGTGAAGCTCACACGCCCATCATCATCCATCGCGCGGTCCTTGGGTCGATTGAGCGCATGATGGCCATCCTAATCGAGCACACGGGTGGCAAGTGGCCTCTGTGGCTCAGTCCTCGACAAGTGGCGGTCTTGCCGATTGCTGAGGCACATCGTGAGTACGCATATGAAGTCGCGAGTACACTACAGAACGCTACTGCACGTGGTCTGTATGTAGACGTGCAAGACGGCAGCAAGACACTGAACAAACGTATACGCGAGGCTCAAGTGGCAGGCTACAACTACATTCTCGTTGTAGGCGACAAGGAACAGGCGTCGGGAGAAGTCAACATCCGCACACGGGACAACCAAGTGCATGGCGCTAAGCCGCTTGGAGACTTTATCGATGACATTACGGCTGCTATCGATCGTCTGGAGTAGACAATAATAGACACTATAGAAGTCAAAGACAATGTCGAGTGTTGATTGCCCTTAGCGCATCACAGAGAAATCCTCACTGAGTTCTGGTTCCGGAGCGATGGAGAGTTCGCCTACGATGAGTTGACTTAGTGCTCGATTGCCGTCCCAGCCCCCGAAGAGGAAGAGATGAGGACCAACAAGTGTCGACGTGTGGCCATACCGGTTTGCTACGGCTACGCCGTTTGCTGCTACGCGATGCCACTCCATGTTGTGGACATCCAGTACTCGAGTGTACGAGGAAGTAGTGCAAAGGTCTCGTTCGTGTTGTTTCTTGCGTTCTCGTTTCTTGCGTTTCTCTTCTCGTTGATTGTTGCTATTAACAAGACGCTGCTCTCGACTTTCTTGTCGAACAAGTTCACGGACTTGCTTGTCTCCCATGAACAGCGGCGTACGCTCCGTACCGGACCATCCACCAAGCATCACTGCTAGCTCAGCTCCACTACCAGCGCCTGCGAGGTTCAACGACTGACCGAAAGTTCCGGGTGGGTATTCCCCTACAAGTCTGGGACGACTCCAAGCCATCGCGGCAACGTCGAACACGTACACGTCTTTGTTATACACAGGCAACGTGTCGGGTAGCACGGTGTATCCTCCATACAGAAGGAGACTGGGAGAGGTGTCTTCGTTGCTGGAGAGCCCTACCATGGACAGATTTTGACGTGGGTTGGGTGGTTTACCCGAGCATTTGGGGCGACGCCAAGTGAACGTAGTCGAGTCAAAGACCCAGAGGTCGTTCATGCTCTTCTTGCCGTCCCATCCACCAAAGACGAACATTTTCTCGTCATCTACCGACGCCACTGCATGTCCATAGCGTCCAGCAGGACAGTCTGTCGTCCACTGTACTTGTAGCCACGCCATAGCGTTCAGATCGAAGAAAAACATGTCACGGAAGGCTTCACCTTGTGCGCCACGCCCTCCGAACACGAACATGCGTTCATTCTCGTTCAGAAGGATCGCTGAGTGTCCGTATCGTGGCGCTGGTAGCACAACGGCATCAGCTTCGCCTTCCTCTCGTCGACGTGGTTGGTCCTTTGGAAAAATCACCTCAGCCCACGACGAAGTTTCGAGATCTAAGCGATGCAGATCGTTCAAATAGACAAACCCTCCTGCACTACCGAAGTAGTGGCCTCCAAAGATCAGCAAATGCGTCCCAGCTAGTACAGCGGAGTGGCCGCCACGAGCACTCGGTGGCTTGCCTTCCAGCGAAGGCACCGACCATTGAAGACTCACTCGACTCGCTCGACTAGCCAAAGCATCGCTCTTGCGACGAGAACTCACCGCCAACTCTTCCGGACCTTCTTTCATTAGTAAATGCATGCCGTTAATTAACGCCGCTTCGCTACCGTCTTAACGATGATAACCTACACCGTGAACTTCGAGAATAGCAGTCGTTTCTTCCTCTACAAGGCGATACGTAGCCCCCGTAAGGCGAGATGCAATCTCCAACGCCGTCTCCAAGTGCTGTGACGTGCGTTGCGCTTTGCATGGCACTCGAAGACGAGAAGTGCCTTGTGCCAATGCCATAAACACGACGACGTTATCGGCGAGATGTTCATCAACACAGACGCCACTCTGGACGTACTCGGTGATCTTTGAGCTCATCTGGTCCGCCAGAATACTGGCAGTGGACTCGTTCACATTAACTGTACGGTCAAGCGCGATCACGCCGTCGGTCGCAGTTTCCAGCACGACTAGAGCAGACACAGCCGTCTTCTCCTTGGGTTTACGGAACTTAAGAGTCTTCTTCTGGTTGGTAGCTGTTGTGGTTTCTACGATACATTCCACTTCTATCACAAGTTCTTCACTGAATGCCCTGCGGATGGCTAGTTGCAACGCACTTGCGTAGTGTTCAGCCATGTTCTCGTTCGCTGATGAGCCAAATGTTGTCACTCGGAGGAATATTTTACGCACAGAGGTAGACGACTCGGTTAAGTCGATAGCTTGCAGCGTCTTCTGACCAATAGAGTTCACTGAAACTTGCACTTGGCCACTGGGGCCACCTCCAGAGAAGAACATTCGCTTGGATACTTCCACGTTGTACACGAGTCCAAATCGTGATAGGAGACTGCAAAGAGGAAGCTGCATGAAGTCGATTGTCGGGCTAAAGCCGACGTGTGTGCCACCACGTAAGTTCAACTGCGTCGAGTTGTCACGGAAAGCCAAGACTGGCAATGCACCTTGGAGCATCAGTGAAATACTACCACCGGTACGTGAGGCTCCATTGAAGGCTTCACCTTTAGATGCACTCAGTAGCGCCGATCGTGCATCAAAAGTGAGATCCGTCGAGTTTAACCGAGCACCGGACAGCTCTCCACCAGCTGATAAGGCAGCCACGAGCTCGATTGTACTTAAATGTTGGCTCCTTAAGCCTGGAGCTTTTCGGTTCGCACGGATGGAATGTACACGCACAACACGTCGCGTCACAGCAGCCAAAGCCGTCGCAATACGTAGCAATTGTCCTCCACCTTCTCCATCACCACCGTTGAGTACGATAGAGCCTTCAATTTCCTGGTTTTCCGCCTGTGACTCGGTCTTCTCTCCACTCTCTTGTTGGTCACGTAGTCGAAAGAAACGTCTCGCATTTTCCGTCGTAGTGTGCGCCACTTCATCCTCCGTGATACCGTAACAACGTGCCAGTGTCTGCGCTACAGCTGCGACATCCTTTGGTTCACAACGTGCACGTTTCTTCTGTCTTCCCTCACTATACGGGTACATATATGGCGCGTCGGTCTCAATCATAAGACGATCAATTGGAAGTCTAGGCACCATATTCTTCACTACCAGTCCCCGAGATTCCATACACAAGAAACCTGTAAGGCCAATGTAAAATCCCATGTCAAGATACTTCCGCAACTCGCTCTCTTGTCCTGTGAAGCAATGGATCACTGTTGGTGGCAATGTTCTGCTGTCTAGAAAAGGCTGGAGCACCTCCACCAACGCTTCGTGAGCTTCTCTCTCGTGTACAAACAGAGGCATCTTAAGCTCACAGGCCAGAGCGACTTGATCCCTGAATGCCTTCACCTGGGCGTCTCGGGGACTGTAGTCGCGGTTAAAATCGAGTCCGCACTCGCCCACAGCCACTACGAGGTGTCCGTCTTCGCCTGTTATGATCGACCGCATCTCAGCGATAGTGGAGCTCTCATTGAAGCTCTTGGCGTCGTGTGGATGTACCCCGACAGTCGAGAATAGCGCTACACCTGAAGATGCAGTATGATGCTTGGCCAGTTGTAGAGCGGAGCGGCTCTCGGACACGCTGGTACCCGTGATGACGATGGTCTCTACACCTGTCTGCTTGGCTCTATGCAACACTTGCGGCAGGTCTCGACGGAACTGGCCGCTTGTCAAGTTCGCTCCGATGTCCACAAAGCTCCGTCCTGCCATTGTCACAAAGCGTATCAATCCGAAAATGACGATCGTCATTGCATTTCAAAAAATCAACCCATTTGTGGCGAACACCAACTAGACCATCACTCACCATTTTTAAACTAGGGCTTCCTAGGTTTATGTTTGACACATCAAGTAAGGTGGCTCCCTGTCATCACTTCCAGTTGATAGAATGTCGGTGTCGCTGGACCAGTCGGCGGATGCCGAGTTCGTACGCTTCGTGGCGCGCTTCTGTGGTGTGAACTTGGGGTCAGCCGCCTCTGGACGTCTGCGTGTGCGTCTGGGCAAGAACACGGAGCTGTATGAGCCCTCCACGATCGCCAAGTACCTCGCGCGCTTGGCTGATCGCGAGCACGAACTGGTGGGTCAGACGCCCTTGGAGCGTGCACAGGTTGCCATGTGGCTCAATTTCGCACGTGGCATCCAGCGTTGTCCTCCCGCTGCTGCACCCACACACTGGCAAGTGCTGGAGTCTTCGCTGCAGCAGAAAACTTACCTTGCAGCCAGCCGGGTGACACTCGCGGACGCTGCGCTCTTCTACACGCTCCACGCCGCCTTGAAAACCCTCTCACCAGCTCAGCGTGACCAGTTTTCCAACCTCGTGCGCTGGTTCGACCAGGTACAACACACGGTGGGCGTCCGTGGCTTTCGCAACTTTGACGTCATCGACCTCTCGGCCAAGCGCATCGCCTTCACGGCCTAGGAAAAGACGACGACAAGAGGACCACGTAGATGCATAATCTGCAGTAATAGGAGGTGCGGGGCTTGCCCGTTGCTCTTTAGATATGAACACAGTGTTGATGGATCAAGATGTGACGTGTATATAGCTCTATTCTTATGCACAGGATTGGTAGCGCAGACCTACTTGGTCTTCCGCTTCTTGTTGGCAGATTGGCGTTGCTGCTTCTCGCTGATCTTCTTGGCCAGAGATTTCTTAGCCTCCTCGCCCTTATTCCAGTACTGACCGTCACGTTGACGGAAGCTAGCCTTCGGTGCGCTGCCAGCAACATCCAGACTGATCAACACCATGCGGTCGCCGATCTTCATGCCACTGCGACGAGCAGCAGCCAGCGCTTCGTCCTCGCTTGAGAACTCGACGTATCCAAAGCCTTTGAGCTTCTTGGTGTGGTTCCAGATAGGCAAACGCACACTGGTAATAGTACCACACGAAGCCAACGCTTGGCGAATCGTGTCCTCTTCGACCTCATACGGGAGCTGCTTGATGTACACCGTACGACATCCCTTGACGGCCTTCTTCGTAGCGTTCTGGGTTTTCTCCTTCAGTGCCATCTCGACAGCACGTGGAGCTTCCGCTCTACGGATCGACAGATAGCGGTTGAACAAGTACTGTCCGTCCAACTCCAGCGCCTTCTCCAATGCTGCTTCGTCGTCAAACACCACGTGAGCATAGCCACGAGGCTTGCCCGAGTCCTGGTAACGCGGCATGCGCACCTCACGCACTGTACCGCAGGATGAAAAGTGTGTCACTATGTCTCCTTCACTCGCTTTGTACGGGATTCCTTCCACGTAGACAGTGGCTTCCGTCTTGCGGTCGATCTCGTCTTTAAGCTCTTCATCCTGTTCCTGCGGCTGCTCTTTATTCTTCTTCTTTTGCTTCTCCTTCTTCACAAGAGCTGCAGCTTCTTCCTCGGACGATGAGTCGTCAGCATGTTCGTTTTCTTGCTCGCTTTGCGCTGGCTCGGATTCAGCCTCGTTTTCATCCGACTTCTCCTGTTTGGGGGCGGGACGGAACATTGCGTTCTCCACCTCGTCGTCCTCGCTATCACTTTCGCTGCTGCTTTCAGCGGATGAAGAAGACGAGGATGCATTATCTTCCGCGGTCTTCTCGGCGTCGACATCGCGACTGCGCTTCTTGCTCTTAAACAGCGACGGCTCCATGACAACAAGAAGAGCGAGCAATGAGGATTATGACGCTTCAAAGTGCTCCAGTCAATTTATTCGTTTACGATTGGTTAAAATGCTGATTTTAAAGGTTTTAGCGAATAAGAGGACAGGGGGTCATCATCTTTATTACACCAGACAGTTCCACCAGCATGAGCTCGGATGAGGATGCGGTGAAGCTCTACAGCGCGCTGGAACGCAACAAGAAGCGTCAGATGATGGGTGCGTCGCATTCTACCGACGATTATCTGTACATTGATACCTCGATCACCATCTACATCACTCTCGAGAACGTGTATCACCCGCTCAAAAACCTATTGTTGTGCTCTTCTACATTGTGCAGTGTCGCTCTCGTCCTCATCCGACGAAGGAGACGACGACGAGGACTTTGAGGGATTTGCAATACTGGAAACGCCTACGAAGAAAAGGCGACAAAGCGCGTCGCCGGCACAGGCCAATAATGGCAAGAGCCCGACACGAGCAGGTGACGATGTCGTGACATAGTGTGACTATGTCGTATGAGACCAACAGAGCTGGTGTTATTGCAGGGAGAAAGCTAATGGACGACAGTGACGAAGACGACGATTTGTACACACCCAAGGAACGCGAGGCGGAACGTTTAAGGAAAGAACGATTGGAGCAAGAGATCCGCCAGAAACTGGAAAAAGACAAGGTGCTGAACCAGACGCGAGCCATTTTGAACAAGGTGTCGACTACCAAACGACAGACGACTGTGAACAACATAGAAGTGATCTCACTGGACTCGGAATCCGACGATGAGAGCGACGAGGTTGCCCCAGTCGTTCCTGTTGCCCCAGTTGTCGACAAAGGCCCCCGGATCATTCTACATATCCGCTCCAATGGTGGTGCTGTAGATGAGATTCCCATCTACAAGGTACGCAAGTTTAAACTGTGCTATTGCTCTCGTTAAGTGGATTTTAACAGGGCCATAATCGTCTTCAGAAAGAGACTTTTGACCAGTTATACACGAGTTTTTGCGAGCTGCATGGACTACCGCGATCAGCTGTCAAGATGGCGCTTGATGGTGAGACTTTGCCAGTAACGGGGAGTCCGGCTAGTGAGGATCTGGATACAGGCGACATCATTGAAGCCAAGGTGGACTTTTCCCAGCAGAACGAGGCCAACAAGAAGAAGTATCTGCGCTTGCGCCTCGTGGTATTTGGCAAGCGATCGGAAGTCTTTAAGATCGATTCGGTACGTACACCTGGTACCTGGTTGTGTACCATCTGCCACGTTAACGTTTTTATCTTCTACTTCTTCACAGACGGCGACTGTCGCAAAGCTTCACGGGAGCTACTGCCAACGACATCGCATCGCCAATCCAGACGATGTCGCTATGAGCATACAAGGCCAAGATCTTGAGCTGAATGAAAAGCTTAATTTCTACGGACTGATCGACAATGACGAGATCTCGGTTACAGTCAACAACCACGTGGCCTCACAGCCGCAGTCGCGGACTATTGACATTCAACTCCGATACGCAAAAGGCGACCCACTTACCCACCAAGTTGTCCAGGTACGTGTGTCTAATTGAAGCGAGTGAATGTCGGAAAAAGGAGGTATTTATTCTTTTTTTTCTAGACCTCAAAGGTTCAAGTTTTACTGACTAAGATCGCAAAGGAGAAAGAGTGTGAAGTGTCCAGTATATCGCTTATGATCGACGGAGAGAAAATGGTAGCATCACAAACCTTCAAGGTGAGTGCCGTATGGTTACATAACGTTACTGCATCTCCGCCACCAGCTTACTAAGTCACTATTTGTTGTATTACCAGGACTACGACTTGGAAGGTGGCGAGCTGATCGAGGTCAAGATTGTGTCTTGAAGCCGAGTTTTGACATTTTCGTAGTACGGCAGAGCTGTAAAATATCCTTATTAGTCATGCACTTAAACTTCGACTTGGTCTGCGAACGATACCGTTCTCTGCTGCTTGTGCTTGGCCTTTGACAGCAGCATTGCCAGCATCAGTGCCATGATGTGTGCAGCCAATAGCCCGCCATACCAAAATGGAGCCCATGGCGTATCCAGCTTGAGGAATGGATAAGGCCAAAAGCCTTTAGCCACCGTGCTATGAACAATCCAAGCAAAGACAGCGTATACTGACGGCCAACCCATAATAAGAGGCAACGCATCTCTTGATACCAGGTGTCTTGTAGCCAAGAAGTCAATTTGTAGCAATATTACATTCGCGCCATGTTGGCAGTAACTCACTCCGTTCAAGATCGTCTCGGGGTGGCCGATCTTGACTGCATACGGGTACAATACCGTCCACACCACGACGCAGATGAGCAGCGACGCGGCTAAGCAAACGTCCAATAGCAACTCCAGGTCGATCCAGTGTAGACCACTTCCTCTAATAATCCTCCTTCGTCGGGCAAAGGGGCTGCCGGTTCCATCATCGCTATCGTCCACTAGGGCCGTGTAACTCGCCGTTCTCTCGTCTAAGCGACGTTGTAAGTGGCTTCTGGTGCGCCATGCAGCCCCCAAGAAGTATGTGCCCTGAAGAATAAAGTTCCACGACGTGTAGAAGGCCAGACAGCGACCTCTAGAGCGATACACGTCCCATACTTGGATCAGCACGAAGAAGGTCGTCGCCGCGGCTCTAAACGCCAGCAAAGCTCGCAACGACCAGCAACTGCGAGGCTGTAGCAAGGCAGCGGGCTCGCTAGAGAGAGGACGCGCGTCCACGCGACCAGAGCGACGTGTTATCAACCAGAACGACGTGCACAGCGTCGCCACCAGCTCCGCCGCCACAACTAGCGTCTCCCATTCTTCGCGGTGGACAGTCATCGTTCCTTGGAGTGCTAATGAGCTGTGATTGGATGAAAACAAGTTGAAGGCCACTTCAACTTGCGAAAACAGCGGGTTTTGTCTTCATGGAATATCAGTGATATTGTATCACCCGTTGATATTGCCAGCAAAATAGTGGCAAATGCAAGTGATTGCAAGTTTTCCTAGTCATTGTGCAATTTGCCGACTTGTGGTACGACATTTAACTCGATGGCGGGAGTCCTGTACGTGGCGGTGGTGTCCCGCATGCTCGACTTGGCGGACACAGCGTTGCATTGGCTGCCCACTTATCTACGAGGTTCCTCGACGAGACGAAGTATCTACACCCCAAAGGAAGACACGATCGCTAGTGCGTACACTGGAGGAGGGACTTCGCGTGCAGCTGCCACACCGATGATGCCAACCGATACGCCTCGTGCTCCTAAGAAAAGTTTCAAGAGCAAAACGAACGTGGCGCTGTAGACTACTGTAGTACTTTGTGGCTGCAGAAATGTGAAGTGAACTTGTAATATTTGAGTTGCAACACTGTTCAAAAGTTGCCTATGGACAGGAAGGACAATGTCCACTTTTGTATGACAGCCACGAGTTTTGTCGCTTCCAGTACGTTTTTCGAGCTACCCAAACGTTTGAGAATCTCATCGCATCGATGCGTAAGAGTTCCACCACTTAAATCTTCTTGTCCTGTAGCAACTTGTCGGAAGAATCCTAAACAAGCCCCTCGTTTACCTTCCCAGTACTTCGGATCGGGATCTAACCTCTCTAACACGTCGAAAGCTTTAGCGGAGTAGTAAAACTGTTGCGTCTTGTAGCAGTCATTAGCGATCAGCTTGAGAAGTGCAAATGCAATCTGTGAATTTTCAGTTTTGAGGTAAATTTCCCACGCCTGAGCAGCACGGTCCACATGGATATAGCAACGCGACAGCCAACCACAAAATACCAACTGAGTTCGTAACTTTGGGTTTTGAACTCGCAGTAACACTTCCTCCGCTTCACGATAGGCACCTGTCGCGGCCAAAGCCACTCCGTAGTTCCAATTGAAGGCATCATCAGTACTTAAATACGTTGCAATGGAGCTCAAATACACATTTGCATCGCTGAATTCCCTTCGCAGTATAAAGTACGATGCCATACACTGGCGACCAGGAATCGTGTCACAATCATCAGACGAAGACCCCGCAACATGGAAGTATTTCTCAGCTAGAAAAATGTGCTCCTTGGAGTGAGTTTGTTCCCCAATTACTGCATGCAAAACTCCTTTAATTGCACGTTCGGCTGTAGTCTGTGGCTCTATATCTTCCATCAACGCAAATGCTTTGTGGTATTCGCGACGTTTAAGATGAAGCAACACCAAGTTCAGCTGGGCCTCATCGAGATGCCCCACTAAGGAACTCAAGATCCCTTCAGCCGCTATACCTTGATTCTCGGTACCATTCGTGTCTCTATCTGACACACGGAAAATGGCGAGATTATGCTGCATCACATCGGTAATCGACGACTCCGAACGTGTCGAGCTTACTGTCAAGGCGAGAGCTTCTTGAGCACTGGGGTGATTGGGGAATCGCTTCACGTAGTCATCGAGAATCAATTTTGCCTCCCGTGCGTTAAACAGACGGTAGTTGCAGCTCGCTTTTATGTTAGTTGCGAAGAAGCTATCTGGGTGGCCAACTAGATACACTGCCAGCAGCTCGAGAGCAACATCGTCGTACCCCAGACGGAAGTAACACAGTGCTAGATACACATGCAGAGCTGAGCCGCCCTCTTGACTGCCTTTACTTGAAGCGAGTAACCTCTTGTAAATCTCAGCAGCCTCCTGAAAATTATTCTGCGTAAAGCTCGCTGCTGCTATTGCTAATTGGTCTTCGACCGAATCTCGAGAAAGCTGTTGATATCGATCCAGCAAAGTCTGTTCGCTGTGTTGTCGCTTGTGCGCTAGGAGGAAGAGCAGCCGGTTGCACAAAGCACTTCGAGAACTGCTCAGAGCTGTGTGCTCGGCGTCCTCGAAGTTTTGCAGATAGAACAAGCAACAGGCACGACTCAGTCGCCAACTCTTTAGGTCTGTTGCAGTGGCTTCTCCAGCTTCGATTAACTGCTCGAAATGTGACAATGCCGCGCCAAAATTCCCACTATGAAAATGACAATACGCTTCCCACCACGTATTCAAGCGCCACGACGCAAGATCTTTCACATTTTGAGCAGATGCTTGCTCACTAATTTGTCGTCCTAAAACTCGTAGAAGTGTTAGAGCTCCAACGAAGTCTCTTGTGTCAAGATACGTATTCAACTCGAACACGGCGTCTTGAGATGGTTTCGTCCTCGTTCGGTGCGATGTCCTGTCACCCGATGCAGTCTGCCTCGCCACAAACATGATAAAAACAATTGTGGCAAGTGCTCCGCAACTATTGTATTACAATATACATAGTATTACAATAGTTGCGGAGCAGTTGCCACAATTGTACTCAAAAAGTCATGGTATCTATATTTTGAGTTTTTTCAGAGCAAAACTTTTACTCGTTGCCCTTTGTCTCATCTCCAGCACCTTCCTGCGTCTTGCTCTCGTTGCTCTCCGTACTTCTCACACCTTGCGTACGAAAAAACTGCGGTTTGGACAGAGTGGCGGGTTTGCTTTCACTGCTATTGGAGTCTGCCGTCGAGCTGCGTGCTCCAAAAATGGTGAACAACGGAGGTCCTTGCGCAGCATCGCCGCTCTTCGTCTCTTCGTCAGCTGCATCGACCGTGAGCGGGACGTCACTCGGCGATATTTCGGATTGCTCATTCGACAGCTGCGAGTTGCGGCGATCGCTGCGTGGATGTGCAGCATCTATCGAGTCTTGCGACTCGCTGGACCCCGACAAGTTGGCTTGTGTGTTGGCTTGCACTGCCGAGCCTTTAATGTGTTTGGCCAGTTGCTGTACCAACCGAATTGACATTTCTTGTTCTGCCTGACGCCGTTGAATTTCCTGTGTCCACCTTTCAAGCTGAACGAGTTGTTTCTTAGAAGGAGGGGTCCTACGATCCAAGCAACAACGTTTCAATACAGCAGACTTAACTGTTAAAGCAACACAAACTTACGTCTGAGAGAGACTTCGCTGTCGGTTCTGGAAAGCCAGCTCGTCATGCCCAGCTTTGATTTGACGCTTCAATTTTTCAAGCTGAAAAATGACAGTAATTAGAAATGCGCACACATTTAGAAAATAGCAATAAGAGAAAATTACCTCAGCAGTCAGTTCGACTACAGGTCGCACGTTGGAGTTCTGGTCCAAAATTTGGTGGAGTGTCTTCTTCAAAACGTCGCGTTCGTGACGAATCTCGTCCAGTTTCTGCTTGGTCTCTGCATCTTTCTTGGCCCGATCAGTAGCAGCTTGCTCCTTGACCTTCTTTACCTCGTCCTCACGGGTCTTTTTCATCGCCTCGTGTTCTTTCCGCAAAGTCTCCAGCTCCTGTTGCGCCTGCTCCAGTTGCTTGGACTGCCTTTTCAGGGTGAGAGAATTCTCAGCAAACAGCACCAATAGCTCATCGTGCTTCTCGGCGAGTTTGCTGTCTGGAGCTGGGACAGCGGCGCGACGTCGCCTCTTACCAGCAGCTATGGTCGACGTGCCACTTGACGAAGCTGCCTGTTGCGTGGCAGATGTGTTACTTGGCTCAGTATCTGGCTCACTGACGTCCTCTTCTTGACTCAGCTGTTGAGTTATGGTAACCCGTCGCAATTTCTTCACTGGCCGAGGACGTGGAGGCGACACAACCACCTTGGTAGGACTCTGCGTAGCCTGGAGCTCTTCATGGACACGCTTGCGAGTGCGACCAGCCACAGACTTTTCATCCGCGCTCAGTTGGGCATGAAGTTCCTCGTTCTTTTTCGTTAGTCCACTGGGCCTGAAAGACCAATATTTACTTAAGTGATTATTCAGAAATTAAAAATGTAAGTGGCACGTACAATATCTCAAATTTGTATGCGAGTTCCGACACTTCTGGCAGTTCAGTAGACGAGGTTGTGTTAGAAACATTGTAAAAAAACTCCCAGCACAAGCAGCTTGGCTACAAACCTGTCGTGTCGGGGTCCGCGAAGTGAATCACATAACCTTTCTTCAGTTGCACCTTCCTGCGGATCCCGACTTTTTTGCGATTTACCCAGAGACCGTAGCGACTTCCTCACAAGCAAGTTAGAATGATTATTGTTGACGGAACAAGTTCCTGTTTTTTTTTGTTTTACCTCGCGTCCTCGATATCCACTATTGGTTCTCCACGATTGTCTTTACCATGTAGTCGGATGATGCAGTGCTGTGTACAATAGACAGCGAGTTAGACACAGCGTGATGGAGGAGCTACGGATTGTACACACGAGGGTACTGATGTATTTCTTGGGGATGATGAGATCAGAGCGATTGGGTACGCGGCCGATGCGGTGCATGGAGCGAGACAAGTCGAAGAGGTCAGGCAGAGCCTCGCCCTTCTTTTTGGCGAGCAGCACGAGTCGTCCCCAGGGAAGTAGCTTCGACGCCGGCGAAGGTGGCGACGACATCGCGATCGCCCAGCAATTATTTCAAAAGTGAACCCGCGGATACAAATACCAGCGACATTACCGGTATGTCACTCAGAATTTTCTCTAAATACGAATGTCTGATTGGTTCTTTGATTCATTGCTAAGCGCCCGGAAATGTCAGAGGCTGTATGACGTTGTGACGTGTACCTGTACAAGTAGCAAAAATGTGTCCAAAATAAACCGGTATGTCGGTAAATGATTTAGTGAGTGCCGAAGTCAGAACGTGTTGACTGCACACTGTGCAGCAAGTAAGCGGATCGGGTTTAAACTCGAAACCCCGTTGTGTACTACTTATAGTATTGTTCTGGAATCAGAATGCCTTCCGTAGCTCGATATCGGTACGTGTAACAGCTCGAACAATGGATCTCAACAGCACTCATTTAGAGCCCTTAATAACGTCGACACCACTGTAGGAAAATGTGTGTCTGCGAGTGATGGACGTAAAAATGGAGTAGGGCATCAACCATGATCAGTTTTAAAGTGGTCACATTAGTAAAAGCATTTGTGAGCAAAGTGCATCGCTGATGGCTTGGACACCGAGGATGGAAGTGGCATTCGAATGATTCTGTATTCGATATCGCTACCTACGAGATATGGCCATGAAGTGTCGACCTTAGAACTTCACTTTTTGTGCTATAACCCCCCCCCTCCCTCTGCCACAAAAGTATGTAGCAGTCAGCGTACCAATACTAAATAAGCCGGACTGATTGTCAAAAGTATGACTGTGCATGGGAAAAATAATATAATATTATTAAAATAGATATAATATTCACGAAATTACTGATTATTGCTTAAAGGCGTATTTGAAATACTACAGCTGCAGATTTGAAAAGATAAATAACTCAAGATTTAAAAACGTACTGAAAAAAGGGTAACAGCTTATTAATTGCAATAGCTACTGTATTTATGTTCAGAATTATTTATAGTTGAAATCTGGTGTTTTAATCCTTATTATCGAGTGATTTTTTCAGCAGCATAATAACACATTTTATTTCCCATGCTCAGTTTGGGACCCTCAATCAAAACGTCCTTTTTTGGTAAATGTATCAAAAACTAGGAGTAAAAACACAGTGGATGGGAAAGATTTTTGTTTGTGAAAGCCACCTACACCTTCCGAAAAAAGTGATTGGCCAATAAGGACTAAGGAATAAAATCTACGGGTGAAATCACTTCCAATAAGCAGGGCATAATGGGATCGTGAGCTTTGTATTTCTTAAGAGGAGGTTTGGATGCAACGACAAGTACATGTAAACGAACGATATCACAAGGAAAATATGATAAATGAAGCCGTTGCCTATTTTACCACAACCAGTAGCTGGTAGAAATAAGGATAACGACAAAAAAACATTCAATCAGTAATGTGTTGGCAAATATTTAAGCCAATCAATTGCATGCTTCGTCCTTCACTGTTCGAATGACTTTTTCAGCGTCTCGTTTTCTTCCCGCAAAGCCTCCAACTCCTTCTGCGCTTGCTCCAGTTGCTTGGACTTTTCGTCCAGAGCAAGAGCATTTTTAGTAAAAATTCCGATCAGCTGGTCGTGCTTTTTTTCAAGTTCGACGAGTTTACTTTCCGCAGCCGGCACATGAACACGATGACATCTCTCACCAGCAGTCCTGGTCGATGGCCCACTTGAGTGTTGGGTGGTAGGGGTATTACCTAGCTCACTTGCTGGCTCACCGACTGGCTCGTTTTCTTCTCGACTCGTCTTCTGGCTATTAATTGCGTGGCGCAATTTCTTCACTGGCCGAGGAAGTGGAGGCGAATGTGTAATCTTTGTGGGGCTCTGGGTACACTGCAATTCTTCATGAGCACGCTTACGCGTGCGACCGCTCCTCGGTATTTCGTCCGCGGTAGATCGTGCGTCTAGCTCGTCGCAGGACCTGCAAAGGCAATATTTAAAAAAAACTATCCTAATATTTGTACATTTTCCACACCTACAAGATCTCGAGTTTATACGCGAGTTCCGACACATCTAACAATTATACAGACGCGTTCAACACTGTTCTAAATAAAATAATACATAGCAGATATCTAACCTGTGGTGTCAGGGGCGGTAAAGTGAATCACATAACCCCGTTTCAGCTGTGTTTTTCTGCGAGCCCCTACCTTTTGGATATTAACCCAGACGCCGTTGCGGCTGGTAGCAGCATTGTAAATGTTAGAATAAACGTTGGTGGTATAATGAACTTCCATCAGCTAATCTACCTCAGATCCTCAATATCTACTTCAGGTTGTCCGCAACTGTCCTTGCCCTGCAGTCGGATGATGCAGTGCTTCATGAAAACGATGTGTGTTATCAGTAAGCTTGTCAATTTTTTTTAACATATCAGGTCACTGGAGTTGAAACAGTACCAGTGCACTGATGAAGTGTTTGGGGATATGGATGTCGCAGCGTTTTGCAACGCGACCAATACAGTGTTTGGAGCGGGACAGGTCGTAGTGACCTGGCAGGGAGCCTCTCTGCGTTTTGGTGAGCAGCACTAGTCGCCCCCACGGCAGCGATGGCGACGTCATGGTGCGCTTCGGTCCAGCAGCTTACTTTTAGTGGCAGTAACTTGAGGAACACTGTGACGTTGCAGATTTTTCTTCAAATATAAATATCTGATTAGTTAGCCTGTGATACTAGCCCAATTAACAATAAGTATTAATATTTGGTTACAACTACTACCCGAGCAGCATTAGCTATTAAGAATACTAAATCGAAGTACCGGTATACGCTATACAATACCCGGTCTCAGACACGCTTGGTTTAGCAGAGAATTACAAGCAAGATCTTCGATTTCCGAACGCTACGTCGGTGACATTAGTGGACTGGGTAAACCGAGCTTTGGCATTTACGAGCGCTTTGCCGCGCTTATAAAAGCTTTGTGTAGCTAGATAACAGATTTTTCTTTTAAAAAAATATCATTTTTTAGTTTCATCCACAAAATTATTATGGAATCTTTCACTTTCCTGCTTTTGTGAAACTACTGGCTCAAATTGCAAAGCAAATATTTTTCTGGAACAAAGAATCTGTCCAAAACCGGTCTGTTTCATCACTAATCTGGTTCGTTTGTACATGTATGACCTTTCTAATTTTTTTGCGGCAAAAAACCAAGGGCTTTTCATTACCACTACGCAGTGTATAAATTTAAAAGGGGATGAATGTCGCGCAGATCCTGAAAGCCACAGCAGCGTCGGCAACATTTTCACCAAAGTAGCGCCCTGCATGATCAAGAGAGCACCAACATGGCTCTAAGTCTAGCTAATTAGGTCATGCTCAAGCCAGCCTATGAAGCGCTTACAGTTTTAAGCACTAGCACGGATTCATTAAACTCTGAATTACGCGAGGCTGCTTCACCCTGTTTGATGCCTTTATCCAGTTCCTAAGAAACCAGTGATACTGTTGAAACGGTTCCTGTCATTTAAGAGCAATTTTCTGAAAAACGTAGTACCGGGTACTCCGTTCGAAATGTATCGAGCACAGAAATCCGTTTATAGCTGGTCTACCGTGAGTACAGAAATAGGAGGCAATTCACAGTTGTAATATTGAAATTTTGCCCTTAGCGCGACGAAGTTCATCAAATGCGCCTCGGGTCTTCCTCCTCTTCCCATTGTATCTCGAGCTCTCGAGAGGTCATTGCTGAGCTCGACACACTCGTCGGAGTCGTTGGTTGTAGCCGAAACTGGCAGAATCCTCTGGTAGAACTCCTGTCGTCAGTATCGCTATAGCGATCAGTCGTACAAATTGCCTCGTAAATATCCATAAAGCAATGAAGCTCCACCCAATTCTCGCAATCGGCATCCTTAGTACAAGAAATAGCATCCACCGTAAGCTCTTCAAAATCGCACCATCTTCCTCCTGTGATCTGAAGATCAAAAACTTCAACTTTGTCCACATACGCGTGGCACATTGGGAAGAAAGGTTCACCAGCTACAGCATTCGGAAACCATACGCCAATTGATAATGAACTGTTCGCGTCGGATTTACTATTCGTACCAATCTGCTTCAGTACAAGCTGACCATCCATGTATAGGTTTGTACGGGCAGAGCTGGCGTCCCACTGCATTACAACCTCGGTATACGTGTCGCCAACAGGTTGTGGTGAAGTTAGTGTAAAAGGAATATCAGAATTGGTTTTCGCCTGGTACAACGCAGATTTCCAAAGTGGCAGAAAAGGGATCTTGTCTTTCTCTTCGACATCTTCATAATCCCCCCACCAAACCTGCGTAAGAGTTCCAAAAGCTGAACATGGCTTCATCCGCATAACCAAAACGCCAGAATTCTGTTTCAAGATAGTTTTGACAGCAGCACCAACGCGACGAGACTTGCAGGGCTCAAGAGAGCTGCAAGGTAGTGGAGTTATCCCATCCAACGCCCATTCCGTGAATCGATCGTCCGTAGTACGGTCCCGTAAAGACCCGTCATTTGTCATCGTCTTTCCTACTGGAGCAACTCCAGCATACAAATCCCCGTTTGCTGTCAGCTCCAGCACTCGCTTGCCCAGGATAGTTTCTGTCACACAGCGCACATTGTCCGAGTGCATACCTCCATTGACATTTCCCTCTCCCCACTGACTTGTGATTGGCTGCCAGTTGGTGTTGGTTTGGACGTTCCCAGCTCCACCGTCACCGGGACATTTCGCGAAATCATCCTCCATAACAAGAACATGTGCGCAGGATTCGAAAGTGTATGCAGTACGTCCCGAGCAGCATTTTTCCAGAGAAATGACTATTTCCGTGTAGTCACTCATCTTGAGGCCATCTAAACAACTCACTGCGACAACTTGGACTGTTCCAGTATAAATTTCCACAGGTTGTGTATAGAGAGACCCCGATGAGCAGGTCAAAGTTACGTGTGCACCTGTCGTTAATACCTGATACCGTAGAGTAGCGTTGTCCGTCACTGCAGCTAATTGCACGATTAAAGTTTGCGGTTTGATAGCACTACAGGCAGTAGTGTAGGTTGGCTTCACAGCTTGAGCACTTACTGGCCCCCAAGTCACTACGGTACTATCAGCACATACCACACCGACACAGCAGGTTACTGCTCGAACCACATCGTAAACTTTCACAACCAGATTGATCTCTCCAGAAGATATTGAACTACTGCACGTCGGCAAGTCTTTGTCAGATTTTACGACCGAGTAAGCCACACCGAACAACTGATCGGTGGCAGTTGGTGGGGAAATTGTGAGGTTCATGAATCCTGTGACAGTTGTCGCTGGAAGTTCGTATTTGAAGGTAGGTATACGAGGATGAGCGACAAGATTTTTAGATTCCACGAGCTTGCTGGGGAGTAAATCGGTCCCACACGCCACCACTCGAATCTTTGCATTGAACGTCACCTTGACCTCTCCAGTTGTGGATAAAATTTTGGTGCCAAATACGCAACTGGGTACAAATGAAGATGCTGTGGTATTTTCTTCAAGAGGTACGACAGTATATCTCATGGATGTGCAATTTGTGCACTTGACGCTAAGAGTCCACGTATCGACGCTCGTTGACGTATCCAGTACACTAGTGATAGTTGGCTCAATTGCTTGAACCAAAAATCGAGACGAGCGCACGGGGTAGCTGCTGACCAGTAGCCCGTTGACTAGTAGACATGCTGCAGCATGGACGTAGCCACTTGTACTAAGAGAGACCGTGGCATTGTTGTAATGCCCAGGTGTGTTACATACTGGGAAGGCCTGAGCACCATCTCCTGTTGTGAACTCTACCCAACTTCCAGGAACTGGGGAAGCCACGAGAACATCAATTCCACCCACTCCAACTCCACTGCTACTGTTGAATCTAGCACTTGGTATAAAGGAAAAGTGGGGCACGTTTAAGCGCACTTCAAGCCGCACATTGTCGATAGCCCATTGATCAAACATGTTTCTATATGTCCAGAGTTCTCGTTCCTGACTCCCCAATTGCCCTTGCATACTTGTTTGGTCATTTTCCGCAGCAATCACTTCATCTCTCGTTACTCCAGTAGCAACATCGATAGGAAAACTTGAGTGATTCTTCTGCATCCAGAAGAACTGCGAGGCTTGATGCATTGATAGTTGGGGTAGAATCACAGAGTAGAAAGAGAAGTTACTACTTCGAGAAGTAGGAAGTGGGATCTCCAAGATCTCTTTCCATGAGCTGATATTATGAGAAGCAGCACTCACTGGTAAATACCCGAATCGAACTTCTTCATTCAGGTCTGTCATCTCACACGCAACGCGGTTGTCGCCCTGTGCGTCGTATCTTTGAATTGTTTCAAAACCGTACACGTGATAGAAATGCATTTTACCATGGAAACCTTCCAGTTGTAAAGGCGAAGTGAGTGCCAATCGATCACCCAGAGACGTAAAGAACAACGCGTTCGTTCCGTCAAAAGACCCGCACGCACTGCTGGGATATCCGTGCTGTTGTCGACTCCAAAATGAAGACGTGAGAGACGTTGCGTTATCGAAAGAATCACGTTGTAAGACTACTCCATTCCACTCCATGGAATCCACGGAATACCCGATAGGAAATGATAAAACTGTGACCGATTGCGAAAACAATACAGAGCTTGTAGAAATGTTTCCTTCCAGTGTAGCAACGTAGTCGATCGTCATATCTCCGGTGGACATTGCACGAGCAGTGATGCCACTTACAACCGAAACACTTGAGCTGAAAACCACGAAACTTGGTTCAAAACGCACTCCAGCACTTGTAGGCGTCACTCGAACAAATTTCGCATCAGTACCTTCCAAGTACAACCGCAGTTGAAGGCCCTTTACAGCCTCAAACACTTCAAAATTTGCTGGCAATGGAGTCGCGTATAGCTTGAGCGAGATTAAACCTGCCACTTGTGCCAGCGAAGAACCAATCAGCCCGACAACTACCGTGGCGAGCAGCATGGTCACCGTCATGCTAGCGGGCCTGCAGGAAACTGGTCCGCCAAAAATATACACCGGGCATGGAAAATAAAATCTATATTTATGCTGCCGAAAAATTCGCTCGATAATAAGGATTATAATCTCCAGATTGCAATTATAAATAATTCCGTTCAGAAGATACAGCAGCTCTTGCAATTAATAGATGTTTACCATATTTTCTGTAAATCAAGAGATATTAAATATCTTTAGAAATTTTCTCTTTTCAAAAACTGCAACATATATAATTCCATATGCGCTTAAGCAATAATCAGTAGTTTCGTAAATATAATACCCATGATAATGATATTAAATTATTTTTTAAGCCCTGCGACACACATACCGGTTACTTTCGAAGTATACTTTTGGAAATCAGTCCGGCTTATTTAGTACTGGTACGCTGACTGCTACGTAGACTTTGTGGCGGAGGAAGGTTGACACTTTAGGGCCACATCTCGTGGCCCACGAGATGTGGCCTAAAGTGTGGGTAGCGATATCGAATACAGTATCATTCGATTGCCACCTTCATCCTTACTGTCCAAACCATCAGCGATGCACTTTGCTCACAAAAGCTTTTACTAATGCACCACTTTAAAACTGATCTGATGCCCTCCTCCATTTTTTCGTCCATCACTCGCAGACACACATTTTCCTACAGTGGTGTCGACGTGATTAAGGGCTCTAAATGAGTGCTTTTGAGATCCATTGTTCGGGCTGTTACACGTACCGATATCGAGCTACGGAAGGCATTCTGATTCCCAAACAGTACTTTAAGTAGTACACAACGGGGTTTCGAGTTTAGACCCGATCCGCTTACTTGCTGCACAGGGTGCAGTCAACACGTTGTGGTGAACCTTTCACTACATCATCTACTCAAAATACCGGTTTTACTTTGGTCACATTCTGCTACACCGTCACCTTCTGTTACAACGTCATACACCTTATGACATTTTCGGGCTTTTAGATAAGCTTAGCAAAAAATCAAAGAGCCAATCAGACATTCGTATTTAGAGAAAATTCTAATATACCGGTAATGTCGCTGGTATTTGTATTCGCGGGTTCACTTTTGAAATAATTGCTGGGCGATCGCGATGTCGTCGCCGCCGTCGAAGCTACTACCTTGGGGACGACCCGTGCTGCTCGCCAAAAACTAGGGCGAGGCTTGTGAGGTACCAGAGTGTACCAGTGCCGGACTGCCAGCGAGCAGCGCTGGCACCGACGTGTAGCAGCGGCCACACGGTCGTGTACGCGATTGTACTCCATATTCCTCCTGCGATGGTGAGAGGCGCAGCCTCTCATGGCGGTTGCAGCCGCCCAAGCCCTCAGCTCCAGCACGTGCGGCTAGATAAGACAACAAGAGTGGTTAGCAACTGCTCACTAAATAAATCATGGGTCCCAAGGTTGAGGGGCGGGCTGCGGCGCAGCTTTGCTCTCACTTCCAATCGTACCAGCGAGTACACAAGCTCCTCACCTTGGTGTTCCCGCCGCGGCATTCTGCCAGGCAACTCCCTGCCTTCGACCTCGTCTATCTTGCTCTTTCTTTAAGTATACGTGCTGCTGGAGCCTACGTCACGCTGACGGTAACTACAAGGCACACAGCACGTCTCAAATTATGAGCCCAACAACAGAAGCAAGCCGAGACAACAAACGTACCAGTGGTGCGGAGCAGCGACGCGAAAGGAGACAACCAGACTGCAACAGGAGCGGTGCCCTCGGGGTCAAATAGCGTCGACTCTGAAGAAAATGGAGATTTGACAGAAAATTCTAATCCGACGATTGGTGATCATCCCTCTCGGGTACCTGTGACAGTGAAAGATTCTGTATTTCTATTGGCGGAATCAAAAGATGGGCAACGCTCATTGGCCAAACCCGCAGAAGAAAAGGAGACAGCAAACTGGCAACTGACCGTTCGCTCATTGAAAGAACGATCGCCTTCTCCCCCAGTTCGACGCGAAGACACCTTTGGAAATAGCTCCGCGAGCCGCAGACAAGCTGACACTGAACCTGAGGACAAAATGAATCGAGTAGCAGCCGTAGACACCCTGCAGGTGGACAAAAAGCTCTTCAAGCCGGAGGATTACCCCGCTTGGCGCCTACGAGTGCTTACAGGTCTAAACATCTCAAACATGGCCCAGCTTGTCCTGGGCAAGAAACCCTTCAACGACAGCTTGTCTTCTAGCGTGAAGGACTGTTGGAATAGCAGATATCGCAAAGCAAATGGCCTTCTTGTCTCGGCCATCTCTGATGAAACCCTTATGCGTTACCAGGACGTGGTCAACCTGGCTGACCCTGTCGAGCTATGGCGGGTGTTAGCTAAGGAATTCGGCCAAGGGCGAGGGTAAACACGGTACTGATTTGGGAACGAATCTACGGGCGAATGCTTCGCCCAGACGAGCCCGTGCGAGACTACATCGCCGACCTACTGAAGATGCAGCGCGAACTAGCAGAAAACAATGACCCCATCTCAGACTCGCGACTCGCTAAGGTTATGCTGACCAAGGCTCACGCAGTCTACCCAACGATTGCAGATGAAGTTACGGAGAAGCTACGCCGTGATCCAGGCTACAAATATACGGTGCGCGACGCACGTGGCCGTCTGGAGAATGCAGAAATACAACGCAACCAGCGAGTGCGTGAATCAAACAGCAGCGCTGCGAACAGCCGTGGCCTGGCCAGTAAACCCCAAGCAAATGCTGTGCAGCAGCACAGCAATAGTGAAAAAGGTCCTCGCCTCCAGCGCGGCTGCAAAAATGGTCGCAACCGTGGCTCAAGTGCTGCATCTACAAACACTGGCAAGTCTAATGCAGAAAGGATTGCGATAAAGAAAAAGAACTCGAAGTGCAATGCTTGTGGTGAGAAGGTCCACTGGCGTGGTGAAGCTGAGTGCAGCCAAGGACGTCGTCAAACCCAAACCAATCAAGGTGACGAACAAGTGCGCTCTCTGAGTGGAGCTATTCTCCGGCAACATGAACCGCTTGTCTCGTATGACAGGTAGGTAGAGTGCATGACATCCCGTGATGAACATGCAGAGCACGCAGTTGGTGGAATTAGGAATGATGATCGATTGATTTCGCTGAACGACGTGCGTTCGGTACTTGGGCTACAAGCAGTGGAGCAAATGGAACAGCAGCTCCATCGCCGAAACACTGGAGCTGGTGGTGTTAGTGTGCGTGCTGCGTCGCCACAGTACTCACCCACGAGTCCTCCGTCGAGCCCCGTTGTTCGCAGCCTTATGTACTCTCCTACAGCACCAGCGTCACCTGATTACGCAGTGACTGCAGTAATTGGAGACGACGAGCATGTCCCTGTCTTGCAGGCAAATGAACTTGAATGGCTTCTCGATAGTTAATCGCAAGTAATCTGTGCGGAGATTCGACGTATTTTTCGTATGCGGAGCATGAAGCTTCCAGCAACGTGATGATATGTCTGCTGTCAGTCAGAAGTCATGCAAGCAAGCGGAAGTGTGGTGCTCCGTATCGAAAACGGAGTCACGGGCAAGTGGGAGCCTCGCCGCCTGGACAATGTCCACTACTCTCCTAATGCCCACGTTAACCTGATAAGCCTCGGGTACATGCGCGCCTGTGAGTTTAAGCTTGTCTTCAATAAAGACCAGAGCACTGCGTGGCTCTGCAAGGGTAGGTTGAAGCTGCGCTTCGACCATCATGACCTGCTATACCGCCTGCGTGCGAAGCGGTCTGTGCGATTGGTCGGTGCTGCTGAAGAGCGCAAGGATGTGATGGGATTGCTGCAGCAATCGCCTTGGGCACGTGAACATGAAGCTCATCAAGGAGTTGGCTAATGACAAGGCCGACTTTGGCTTTAACTCTAACATGCAGTCGTTGAAGGACTATGAATGCGTTCCTTGTTAAGTCGGCTAAGTTCAAGCGTACCACTTACAAGCGTGGGCCACCGTTGCGAAAGATCCCGCTGGAAAAGCTATCTATTGATCTCTGCAGCATCAACCAAGACACAACAACTGGCGAAAAGATGTTCATGCTGGTAGTAGATGAGGCAACGCGATACAAGTGATGTTATCTGCTGAAGCATAAAGACGAAGCAGCCAAGCTTGTCGAAGAACAGGTATTGAGGCTCAACACTCAGTACAAGCGTGCAGGACATTCAGTAACGTTGGTACACTCAGATCAAGGTGGAGAATTCGTGAACACCTACCTGGAACGGTTCTGCTCAAACAAGGGTATTGAAGACTACGAATGCTTACTCCCCGGAAGAGAAAAAAAACGGGATTGTGGAACGGGCCAATGGTATAGAGCTTCCAAGGCTACGAGCAGTACTTCATGCAACCAATCTACCGAACCTGTTGTGGGGTGAAGCTACTCTACACATTGTAGACACACTGAACCTCCTTCCGACAGCTCCATTGATCGGGAAGTCGCCACATGAATTGCTGTTCGGCACGGCACCGGTGCTGCAGCACCTACGAGCCTGGGGTTGCTTGGTACATGCGTACGTACCTCTTGAGACCCGTCCAACGCGAGCAAAGCTGGACCCGCGGTCTGTGCTTTCGATTTTCCTGGGCTATAGTACTACTACGACTGGATACAAGCTGATGGACCTGCGAACTGGAGCCGTGACTACTCGACGCAGTGGGAACGTATATTTTCATGAGAACTTTACTGTTGCGAATGACTACGTCCGTCGGCTACTGCTGAACATGTATTTCAGTGGGGACTATGAGCTTGTGGATGTGATCCCGGTGGTGCCTATCACATCTACACTTGAAGCCCGACTATTTCCCGAAGCAGGTAGCGCAACTGACGTGCATGCGGCTACCGAATCAACCTATCTGCCCCCTGAAAAGGAAATTGGTGAGAATGCGGAGCCAGTGGGGGTTGTTGCAGCAACACCCGGAACTGAGTTGCAGCCAGCGGCTGTGACAAAGAAGAAGAAGAAGCGAAAGCGGCAAGTCTCTTCAAGCCGTGAGCAGGAATCCAGCAACGAGTACCACGATGTACGAGCTCACCTTCAGCGGAGCTACGAAGCTCAAGCCCTCGCAGTGAGAAAGCTACCGGCTCGTCTCAATGACTATGTGGTCGGTTCTGTGATGAACACGACGACGGAAATTCCAATTCCTAATACCTACAAGCAAGCGAAGGCGAGTTAGTATTGGCCGGAGTGGAAAGCAGCGATGGAGGACGAGCTGTCATCATTGCGCGCACATGGAACTCGGAAGCTTGCTGTACGCGCCAAGACCAAGCGTCAGACAGTTATCACAAACCGATGGGTCTTTGCGGTCAAGAGAGATGCTGAAGGGCGAATCCAGCGGTTCAAAGCCCGGCTGGTGATCCATGGCTTCAAGCAGAAGTATGGAGTTGACTATGTGGAGACATGTGCGCCTGTCATTCGGTTTGAGACCATCAGAGCGGTCATCCTGTATGCTGTGAAGCGTGGCTGGCTTTTCTTACAGTACGATGTCAAGACTGCGTTCTTGTACGGTTTACTTTCTTTGCTCATGTACATGGAGCAGCCTGTGGGGTTCGAAGACAACGGTGGGCAAATGGACTGCCAACTCATTAAGTCTCTCTACGGCTTGAAACAAGCACCTGCAGTATGGAACAAGACGTTGCATAACTTGAGAAGCTGGTTCTCAGCCGTTCGGACAGTGACTATGGCCTCTACGCTATGTACAACGACGACGGAGATGTGACGATGATTCTTAGTGTGTACGTGGATGACTTCCTGCTGATGGGACCGACAACTCTGTGTACCAAAATTGCAGAAAAGCTGAAAAATGAATTCACCTTGACGAGCATGGGTGAAGTCAAGCTCCTGCTGGGCATTGAGATTACAATCGACAGGGCGCACAACAAAATCATGTATTGCCAGCGGGCACACATCGACAAGATCCTAAAAGCCTACGGGATGCAGGATGCCTACGGATGCTGGACTCCAAAGTCACCCAGCGAGGCGAAGGCTAACGTGAAAGCCGTTGCGCCTGGTATGAAACTACCGTACCGAGAGATTGTCGGGTCACTGCAGTACCTAGTGTCGGGCTCGCGGCCTGACATTGCACATGCGATACGCCATTTGGGCAAGTACCTGTCGTGCTTTGAGCACAAGCACTACCGTGAAACCCAGCGGGCTCTCCGGTATCTGAAGCAGACACGTGATCATGCACTTCACACGGACGCTGTTTCGGGCAAGGACGTTGAAGTTACGGTGTTCACGGACAGTGATTACGCTAGCGATCCGGATGATGCCAAGTCTATCTCGGGCTGCGTCACGTTTCTTGACGGCAATGTCGTGTCTTACGGATCCCGAAAGCAAGGGACCAACGCTCAGTCGAACACGGAGGCTGAGTACATCGCTATGAATGAAGGGGTAAAGGGCATACTATGGCTGGATGGCCTATTCGAGGAGCTACGGAGGTCTGCGGCCACACCACTACTGCGTGGTGATAACCAAGCGGCCCTCTATCTTACTGCGAAACCGGAAAAGCACTCAGCCACGAAATATATCAAGAAAAAAAATATAATTTGATTTGACATTTAGTGGAGGACGGGCAACTACGGACTTTACATGTGCCTACTGACGACAATACGGCTGACATCATGACCAAGCCGTTGGCAAACGCAAAATGCACAAAGTTTCGAAAGTAATTAAAGGTGTTACCTGTATCAAGTCTAGTTACTGCTACTGCTACTGCTGAACATCAACACTAGCTACCAAATCAAGTGCAAACGTTCGAGCCACTTGCTAGGCTGATCCTGCGGGTCAAGCCAGCTCGACGCGCGTCTCGAACGAGTGGGGGGGTGAGGTACCAGAGTGTACCAGTGCCAGACTGCCAGCGAGCAGTGCTGGCACCGACGTGTAGCAGCGGCCACACGGTCGTGTACGCGATTGTACTCCATATTCCTTCTGCGATGGTGAGAGGCGCAGCCTCTCATGGCAGTTGCAACCGCCCAAGTCCTCAGCACCAGCACCTGCAGCTAGATAAGACAACAAGAGTGGTTAGCAACTGCTCACTAAATAAATCATGGGTCCCAAGGTTGAGGAGCGGGCTGCGGCGCAGCTTTGCTCTCACTTCCAATCGTACCAGCGAGTACTCAAGCTCCTCACCTTGGTGTTCCCGCCGCGGCATTCTGCCAGGCAACTCCCTGCCTTCGACCTCGTCTATCTTGCTCTTTCTTTAAGTATACGTGCTGCTGGAGCCTACGTCACGCTGACGGTAACTACAAGGCACACAGCACGTCTCAAGGCTTTTCCTGACCTCTACGACTTGTCTCGCTCCATGCATCGCATTGTCCGCGTACCCAATCGCTCTGACCTCATCATCCCCAAGAAATACATCAGTACCCTGGTGTGTACAATCCGTAGCTCCTCCATCACGCTGTGTCTAGCTCGCGGTCTATTGTACTCAGCAATGCATCATCCGACTACATGGTAAAGACAATCTTGGAGAACCAATAGTGGATATCGAGGACGCGAGGTAAAACAAAAAACAGGAGCTTATTCCGACAACAATATAGATTCTAACTTGCTTGTAAGGCAGTCGCAACGGTCTCTGGGTAAATCGCAAAAAAGTCGGGATCCGCAGGAAGGTGCAACTGAAGAAAGGTTATGTGATTCACTTCGCGGACCCCGACACGACAGGTTTGTAGCCAAGTTGCTTGTGCTGGGAGTTTTTTTTTACAATGTTTCTACTCGTCTTTTGAACTGCCAGAAGTGTCGGAACTCGCTTACAAATTTGAGATATTGTACGTGCCACTTACAATTTTTATTTTTGAAAAACCACTAACGTAAATATTGGTCTTTCAGACCCAGTGGACTATCGAAAAAGAACGAGGAGCTTCATGCTCAATTGAGCGCGGATGAAAAGTCTGTGGCCGGTCGCACTCGCAAGCGTGTCCATGAGGAGCTCCAGGCTACGCAGAGTCCTACCAAGGTGGTTGTGTCGCCTCCACGTCCTCGGCCAGTAAAGAAATTGCGACGGGTAACCATAACTCAACAGCTGAGTCAAGAAGAGGACGTCAGTGAGCCAGATACTGAGCCAAGTAACACATCTGCCACGCAACAGGCAGCCCCGTCAAGTGGCACGTCGACCATAGCTGCTGGTAAGAGGCGACGTCGCGCCGCTGTCCCAGCTCCAGACAGCAAACTCGCCGAGAAGCACGATGAGCTATTGGTGCTGTTTGCTGAGAATTCTCTCACCCTGAAAAGGCAGTCCAAGCTGTTAGACAGAGGTTATACCGTGAGAATGTAGAAGTGATATTTGCTCTGTTAACCATCTTCCTGTGGCAGCCACCCGTGCCACCACTCCTGTGTGTCCGTATAGTCGGCGGCCGAACCGGTCTTTTCTACCGCCTTGAACCGCAGCTGCTCCAGCCGCACGGTCCGAATCCAACACTCCTCCTCGGTCGTCGCACTCTCGGCAGAACTCGTCACTTCAGCTTGAAGATCTCCCGCAGTTTCGCGATCCTCGGCGCCGGTAACGCCTTCGTGAGAAGATCCGCCATCATCAGGCGTGACTCCACGTAATCGGGCTTCACTATCCCTTTCCTGGCAAAATCACAGATGAACTTCACGCGTATGTCCACGTGCTTCGCACTCGCCATGCTCTCCTCGGATTCTAGCTGCTTAATCGCCGCCTGGTTGTCCATTCTCATGGGCACTGGCTCCACTACCCGGAAACCCAGCTCACGCACCAGCTCCCGAAGTCCCAGCAGCTCGCGCCCCACCTGCGACGCTGACGTGAACTCGGCCTCCATCGTGGAGAGCGACACGCCGGTCTGCTTCTTGCAGATCCACTGCACCACAGCCCCGTCCATCGTCACGACTCCTCCAGTCACCGACTTCCTGTCGCTCTTGTCGGCGGCGAAGTCTGCGTCGCTCCAGCTCTCCAAAGCCATCACGTCGTCCTTCCTCGTCGGCGCCTGCATGGTCAGCTTGACGCTCTTCGTCCCCTTCAAGTACCTTGCAACCCTCTTGGCCAGCTTCCAGTCACTCGTGGTCGGCTGGTGTGTCCTCCTCGTGGCCTTATGCACAGCAAAACTAATGTCGGGTCTCGTGCACCGTGCTATCCAAAGCAAACTTCCCACGAGCGACTGGAAACGGCGGATCGTTGGCTCACCCGGCGCACCCACCTTGGTCAACAACTGCGGCTCGTCTACCTCCGCCTCGTTGTGCTCATCACCAACAGGAACCCGCACACTGTTCGCGTCTGCCAGCCCATGCTGCTCCAGCAGCTCCTCGATCGTCGCCTGCTAGTCCAGCGAGTACCCCTCGCTGCTGTCCAGCTCCACGCGCATCCCCAAGAATTTCCTCACCTCGCCCAAGTCTTTCACGGACAACACGCTCATGGAGCAGAAGAAATCGTCCACCAGACTCGGCTTGGACGCGGTGACCAGGAGATGATCCACGTACACGCCCACGAGCGTCATCTCGCCGTCCTCTCGCTTGTAGTATAGGCACATGTCCGTCACGCACCGTGTGAACCCCGCCTCCTCCAGCTTCGCGTGCAGGAGTTGACTCCACAGCCTACCTGCTTGGCGCAGGCCGTACAACGACTTCCGAGATTTCTTCCCGCGACGCTTCGCCTTTCCTTCGTCTTTGTCCTCGAAGTGTCTGTCTCCAAAGCGCCCGTGCCCTCCGACTCCTCGGAGTCCTCCAGATGCACGCGCATCAATTGTTCGTTCTGCACGTCTGACAACGTCTCGACGTTGCTCACATGCTGCGTCACTACGACTACCTTATCCTTCGGGAGATACACCCGGTAGCCTTTAATCTCGTCGTTCTTTCCCACGATCATGCCCGCCTTGCCTCTTTCACCCAGGGACTTGTTCTTTGCGTCCACGTGCACCGTACAGGGCGACCCGAAAACCACGATGTCACTCAAATCCGGTGTGTTCTTCGTGAGCATCTGCAGTGGCGACTTCGATCCCGGGTTAGCCTTCGTCGGGCTCCTGTTTAGGATATAGGCTGCATATTCCGCAGCATCCCCCCAGAAACTAAGCGAAAGGCCACAGGCGAACACCATGCTCCGCACCATATTCATAACGGTGCGGTGCATTCGTTCCGCCTTGCCGTTACTAGCCTGGTTTCGCGGCTCGCTAATCTGCCGCCTGATCCCGGTATCCTTGCAGAAGAGATCCAGGGTCTTGTATTCCCCACCACCGTCCGTCCTCAACACGTGTATACGGCAGTTGAACTGCCGCTCAAAGTACGCCATGAAATGCTTAAACTTCTGTGCCGCAACGTCCTTAGTCTTCGCCAAGAAGACCCTGCAGTAGTTGGTGCGATGATCAACAAAGTTGACCATGTATCGGTTCCCTAGTCCATCTCTCGGAGTCATCGGCCTCTTCAGGTCGGAGCAGATGACTCCTCCGATCACGTCAATGGGCGAGTTAGCCCCGGTGTCCTTGCGCGACTGCTTCTTCTTGGTCTGTTTGCCCTGGGCACAAGCCAAGCAGTTCGCCCTCACCTCGTCCGTGAGTGCAATCCCGGATGCCGGGTCCTTGGCCATCTTAATGATCGTGTCGTAGTTCAGATGCCCTAACCTACGGTGGAAATGCATGAGCGGCCCGGTCTGCACGTCCCTGCCGACGTCCGCCTCACCTTCCGCCAACACCGACATCAACACGTTGCCCTTCCGCCCCGTGCCTCTAGACTCCATTGCACGCACGGTGAGAACGTTGTTTGTCTTCTCGACGTCAAACACCGCCGGCCCGCCGTTGATGCCGGCTACCACGCGGTGCTTCCCTCGGTACGCGAGTCCGTACCCCTTCGCCTCCAACAACCCGTACGATATGATGTTCCTTTCCAATTTTTCCGCGTACTGCACGTTCAGCAGCCGCACTTTGGTCATCTTCCCCATCGACGTGGTTAAGAGCATTACGCTCCCGCGCTTAGTTACTTTTAGCGCTCCTCCGTCCGCTGCCACGCATTGACTTTCGTAGTCTTCCGCGTCTTCCAGCAGCTCCGGATCATTCACCAGATGACGGCTGGATCCACTGTCCAGGATCCAGTCCTCCGTCTCTGTGGCCGACTCCTCGACCGTGAGCACGAAGTCAGCGTCCGTGCCTTCGCCCCACCTCTTCTTCTTGTTCGGACAGGCCGCCCGCAAGTGGCCAGATTTACCACACTTGTAGCACTTGCGGCCGTCCTTCTCGTCCTCGTGCACATCGTTGACCACGTCTCGCCCCAGTTGCTTGCCTCGCAGCTCGATCTCCGTCGACTGGGCGAAGTGCGCCAGCTCTTCCGCTTGGCGCAGGTAGTCCGTGCGTGCCAAGTTCAGCCTGGACAGCATCGACACTCGCATGTTCGGATCCGCGTAGTGCACGATGTGTCAAGGACCAGGTTGTCCGCACCGCCGCACGCCTCGCTAACTGCCACGAGGTATAGGTAGTGCTCTGTCCAGCTTCTCTTGAAGTCTTCGGTGCCGTGAACATTTTCATGCTCTGCGCGGGTGTGATCTTCGTGGCGAGGTGTGCAGCATCCGCTGCATCGCATGCTCGAGCGTCGGCCGTTCTTCCCACCAGCCTTCAACCTGCTGGTTGTAGTACCTCTCGGCCATTCCGCTGAGATGGTGACCGAGGATGTCAACCTTGACGTCCTCGGTCCACTGGAACCCACTAGCACGCTCGGCGAACTGTATCTGGCGCACAAAGCGCTTGCCCCACGCCAGGAAACCGCTCCCTAGCCCATGGTACAGCTCCTTTCCGTCGAACGGCCGGATCCCCAGCTTCCTCTGCCGGGTGTCAGGTACCCCAGCGAATCCCGGTCCTGGCGACGGTGGCGGTGGCGCTCGATACGCTTGCGGCGGCACATAGTGCTGCGGCAGCGCCGGCTGTGGCGCCTGAGCCATCTCGACGTTCGCTGCTGCATCTCGGTACTCACGTTGCTTCATCCCGAAGTACGTGGCCGGCGAGACGGCAGGCGACGTGCGCCGCGGTGGCGTCTGGTCCAGGGCCTGCCTGTCCATGGCTCTGCCCAGGCCCAGCGACGACCCGAAAACGCTGCTCTCTCGACCCTTGCGTTCTTTCTCCTCCTGTCGCTCCTGCGACTCCTCCAGGCGTCCCATGCGCACTGCGAGGTCCTTGAGTAGGTCTAGTAGCTTGTCCTGCGTTCCTTTCGGTTCGTCGTCCGCCTTCTTGACTTCATCATCTTCGCCGTACTGGCTGCCTGCCCTTTCGCGACTAGGCTCTGCTTCCGGCTTGCCTTGGACTTCGTCCGTGGCAACAGTATGAACCATTGGGCTCATAACCTGTTAGACAGAGGTTATACTGTGAGAATGTAGAAGTGATATTTGCTCTGTTAACCATCTTCCTGTGGCAGCCACCCGTGCCACCACTCCTGTGTGTCCGTATAGTCGGCGGCCGAACCGGTCTTTTCTACCGCCTTGAACCGCAGCTGCTCCAGCCGCACGGTCCGAATCCAACACAAGCAACTGGAGCAGACGCATCAGGAGCTGGAGACTTTGCGGAAAGAACACGAGGCGATGAAAAAGACCCGTGAGGACGAGGTAAAGAAGGGAAAGGAGCAAGCTGCTACTGATCGGGCCAAGAAAGATGCAGAGACCAAGCAGAAACTGGACGAGATTCGTCACGAACGCGACGTTTTGAAGAAGACACTCCACCAAATTTTGGACCAGAACTCCAACGTGCGACCTAGTCGAACTGACTGCTGAGGTCATTTTCTCTTATTGCTATTTTCTAAATGTGTGTGCATTTCTAATTATTGACATTATTCAGCTTGAAAAATTGAAGCGTCAAATCAAAGCTGGGCATGACGAGTTGGCTTTATAGAACCGACAGCGAAGTCTCTCTCAGACGTAAGTTTGTGTTGCTTTAACAGTTATGTCTGCTGTATTGAAACGTTGTTGCGTGGATCGTAGGACCCCTCCTTCTAAGAAACAACTCGTTCAGCTTGAAAGGTGGACACAGGAAATTCAACGGCGTCAGGCAGAACAAGAAACGTTAAATCGGTTGGTACAGCAACTGGCCAAACACATTAAAGGCTCGGCAGTGCAAACCAACACACAAGCCAACTTGTCGGGGTCCAGCGAGTCGCAAGACTCGATAGATGCTGCACATCCACGCAGCGATCGCCGCAACTCGCAGCTGTCGAATGAGCAATCCGAAATATCGCCGAGTGACGTCCCGCTCACGGTCGATGCAGCTGACGAAGAGACGAAGGGCGGCGATGCTGCGCAAGAGCGACCTCCGTTGTTCACCATTTTTGAAGCACGCAGCTCGACGGCAGACTCCAGCCGCAGTGAAAGCAAACCCGCCACTCTGTCCAAACCGCAAGTTTTTCGTACGCAAGGTGTGAGCAGTACGGAGAGCAACGAGAGCAAGACGCAGGAAGGTGCTGGAGATGACGAGACAAAGGGCAGCGTAACATTTACATGCAAAAATTGGCAACATAATCTAACTCGACATCACGGCAGAATCGTAATCGAACTCATAATCGATCCTGGATTACATTTGAGGAATACGAGCCATGCAAAGTACATGTTGCGAAGCTGCGTATTTAACATCACTTGCAATCCTCTTCCAAACGTGCGAACCTCAAGTAATGCGACACGGCAAACTGCTAGCATTAGCCTTTGTGGGCACGTCCGCTTTCGTAGCAGCGTCGAATTCATCACCAAAGTCTTCTCTGAGCGAATGGAACGAATGCTCCGAAAACACCTTCCCTAAGGTAAATAATACGGGATTATACACCTAATGTGCGGTGTTCAAAGCCCTGTACTGATGCCCGCTACAGAGGTTCTGCTAGCCTAGATTTAACCAACACCTTCTTGGTAGTGGCTGCACATCTTTGCTCTAAGCATGCCAAGAATACCATAAATTAGTTCATTCTTTAAAAAAAAAATTCGTACGTATTGCTTAATCTCGCTGAGCATTTCAAAGAGCTAACGCTCCTTTGGTCTAGTCGCTCAATCCTTTTCGTTTTCTTTCAGCATACGCTTTATCTCCCCCAGCTCCTCTTGCACATCGCGAAGCTTGGATTCGAGAATGTCAAGTCGATCAAGCGCAACAGGCTCAAGGCGGAAAATATACTTTGTCGCCCACGCTGAGTCAAGAACACGGAGCTTGTCTGTAAGCTCCAGTTGAAGAGCGCCACCCTCCAATGCATTTAGCTGTCGACGGATCCTCTTAGGATCAACTTGTGACGTTATCTGATCGTCACTGGTGTCGTCATCTGCATCTTCTTTGTGTTTCTTCTCCCCCACTTCTCCATCAGAGTTTTCGTCGCCATCTTCTTCATCCGATTTCTCATCGTCCTCGTCAGATCCACTCGAATCTTTGTCAGAGTCATCGAGGTCGCTAGCAGCGCCCATCAGGTGATCGAGCGCTCCTTGGAAAACCTGTGTAGATTGCACACAATATTAGCAAAAATATTTAATACCACTACACTGAAAAGAACTTACAGGGACGTAATCCGCGATAGCCACGTTAGGGATCGTGTTCATGGTCGTCAAGAAGTCACTCTTTTCCAAATCCTTCGTGCACCTGCGTAATGTATATATTTTTTTCTATAACTTTATCGTCTTTTTAGAGAACACAGACCATACCATCATTCTGTACCATTGTTTTTTGCTGTTTCGGTCCTCCAGTAAAACTCTGAGCTTGTCTGCCTCACAAAGCGATACGTTGGAGCTGGATACGGAGCAAACGCCGTGATTCCAGCTTGGACCTTGCCGATATCTCCCATGACACTTGGTCAGCAGAATTTGTAGTTCTTGTTGATAATTCTAACTAAAAATCAATTTGAAAGAGAAAAGAAGAAATCTATCGAATTAATTCATTGTGAAATGCCTTGATGGATGTATACTGACGACCTGAGAACAGTGGACCTCTTGTATTGCATCTAGTGGCTTCATCGATGTCGCCCACGGTCATGGCGGCTGTCGACTTCTTGAGCGTTTGTCGTGTGCACGATAGTCACGAGATGATCTCTTTGCTTGAAAATAGCCATCGCTACGAAGAGAATCGCCATCTAAGCGCGAGCTTCGCGAAACGGAAGGTGACCTACTTGTACTTCTCCCTCCAAGACGGGCTTGATCGCGAACGCTCGAGTACGGGGCGTGCTTCCTCGATCGTGATCTCGAATGTGATGGACTCCTGCGTTCACTCCCGTGTCGTCGATGGGAAGAAACCTCGCGCTCTCGGCTCCTATTACGCCCACGGTCCTCGTGACGACGTCTCTTGTGCTCGTTCGCATCGTCACCCTCGTCACGTCGACACTTCTTCTCCCTCTTTGCCTCTTTCTTTGCTTTCTTTTTCTCCTTCTTCATCATCCTCTTCTTTTCTTTTTTCTTTTTTTTTCTTGCTCTTCTTGTTCTCAACCGAAGAGGAGTCTGACTCTGACTCGCTCTCCTCATCAGCTTCTCCGCAATCTTCAATCACCACCGCCTGCATCGACGCCGGCTTGTTGTTCGCTACAGTCTCTACATTCTCCATCTTCCGTACCACGTCCATTCCTCGAATTACTTCCCCAAAAACGACGTGCTTCCCATCCAAATGGGGCGTGGGGACTGTCGTAATGAAGAACTGACTACCGTTTGTATTATTGCCTGCATTGGCCATTGACAGCAGTCCCGCCTTCGTGTGGCAATATCTGAAGCTCTCATCTTCAAATTTAGCGCCGTAAATGGACTCTCCACCAGCTCCGTCGCGGTTAGAGAAGTCCCCGCCCTGCAGCATGAAGCCTTTAATGATGCGGTGGAATGGCACCTTTTTGTAGTGTAAAGGTTTGCCCGTGGTACGCCCCAAGCCGCGCTCTCCGGTGCATAGCGACCGGAAGTTTTCCGTCGTCTTGGGAACCCCAGGGTACAGCTGGATCACGATGCGCCCCGCGCGTGAGCCGCCAATGGATACGTCCAAGTACACGCACGCGTCCTTCCCCATGTTGAAAATGTGATCATAGTGATTGGACAAAAGAAAAAAAATCATTTTGACCAATCAATACATCACAACGCTAGCATCAGAGCAATAACAGCAGCAGCATGACGACCGCGCACCGCCCGACTTGGCACGCCGCCGTAGGACAGTCTAACGAGGGTGGATGGCACGCTGGAGGTGCGTACCAACGATGAGAAGTCTACAATGCCATTTTCTGGGTCATTTCGCCGTTGTGGTGCCTGATATGCTCCTGCTCCAGGCAAGCTGAGCGACCAGGTGTCGGCGCGCGACCTGCCGGCCCACAAGCGTCTTAAGATGCGGTATGAACGTGGTGAAGAGGCAATATACTACAGTTAAATATTAAGATTAATTCGGACTGTCGTATGGCTCTGTAGGCAGGTTGGCCAGGGCACAGCGAATGAGGTTGAGCTGCTGGACCTGCGCGAGGAACTGGAGCGCAAGGAAGAGAAATACGAGGTGGAAAAAGGCCGTAAGAAGGACACAGCTCAAGGTACGAGGTAGCAGTTTACTGCAGTAGCTGCTGCAAGGTGTTTATACTCGGTTCTGTTGCATGTTATGATACACAGACAAATTGCGACGGCTGGAGGAGAACAAGAAGATTCTGCTGCTAGGAGACGCTGAGGCGGACGCAAAAGAGTCTCAACTGAAGGAAGTGGCGAGCAAATACAACGACGCCGACGACGGAGCGGGCTCCGAGGCCTCTAGCGACTCCGACAGTGACAGGTTCGCTTTCCAATAATTGAATAATGCTGTATTCTTTTTCATTAACAATTATTGGCATTACCACTAGTGACGATGAAGATGAAGAAGCTGAGTTGATGCGCGAACTGGAGAAAATCAAGCAAGAACGCGAAGAAGAGCGACTACGCAAAGAGGAAGAGGCGCGTAAGACCGTCGAGCTACAGTCACGTGAAGAAATCCTTCAAGGCAACCCTCTGACGCAGCAACAGGCTGCAGGTAGCGCCAAGATGAAGCGCAGATGGAACGACGACGTGGTCTTCAAGAACCAGTCTCGTAATGAACCGGAAGTCAAGAAACGCTTCATCAACGACACAATCCGCAACGACTTCCACCGCCGATTCCTCAACAAGTATATTTCCTAAAAGAGAGATGACCTTCTCGTGGTCTAAGGGACGCGTTGGAAGCAATGGATTAATATTCTTTTGCATGGATTACTCGCTAATGCGTACTGCAGTCTGTGAGTTAACGTACTTTGACGATCATCCCACCCACAAACTTGTGCACCGTCACTTCTTCGCCTGCGTCATTGGTCGCTTGTGCCTTGATGTACTCGCCATCTTGCTGGAGGCCACTCGGGAACTTGATCATGCAGTTGCCAATGGGATTCCCATCCTCAAAGCGTCCGACGTAGGATCCTCCGTCCTTGAAGATCCATTTCCCATTCGTGATAGTGTTATCGGCCCATTCCCCCACAAACAAACTCTTGTCGGCAGCGAACTCGTACGTGCCTTTACCGGAGCGGATGCCGTTCTCGAATCTGCCGCTGAAGATGTCGCCCTTCGTGTACATGAACGAGCCTTCTCCTGTCATTTTATCTGTCTTCCACTCTCCATGGTACACATCTCCGTTGTTGAACGTCATTTTCCCCAGTCCATTCTTACTGCCGCTCTCATACGTCCCTTCGAACGTCGCAAGCACGGACACTAACAAGATATCAGTAAAATGACATTTAAACTCGATACAGTGCTTAGAACCACACACATTCTCCCTCCGGATCGCGCTGGTTCCACGTGTATTTCCCTACACCGTGCTTCAGGAGGTCTGGATTGATTGTCCCTTCGAAAGTGTCCCCATTAGCGTAAGTGATCTTCACTTCGCCCTCGCGACGCAAGTACTTCGCCTCCTCTGGACGGTCGTCCACGTAGGTCACAGAGTATTCCTACGTGAAGCAGAGAAGAGTTAATAACCCTAATATTCTCACTTGCTCTGTGTCATACCGCGTCGTCACTCATGGCTTCGATCAATGCAGTGAAAGGTCTTCCCGCATAGATCGCCGACTACCGAATTTAGATAAACGGATACGCTATGAACAGTCATTCAATGTGCATTTTCTATTCGACGTTGGTTATTGTTTTAGTGAGTTATTCCCTCGAGTAGCGGGTTAAACTGGAGTCCCAGTGCCACACCAAGGACCAACATGTGCGGGAATCCGTTGGCGACGAAGTTTCCTACGATTGCAAGGTACGGAAGATACAGCATCGGATGGTGGTAATCCAGTACATGAAGCAAAGGGATGTTGATATCCTTCCAGAACGCATAGCCACCGTTCACGTTGAGGTAGATAACGTGCTCGCTGCCGGGCACACGCACTTCAAATGGCGTCAAAGCACGGCAGAACGCAGCCAGGAAAGTGGTCAAGGTACAAGAGCCAATGAAGCTCGAGCCGTGCATACCACCGTGACCGGTAGTGATCTGTCCACAAGAATATTATTAGGAAATTGGATATCGGTTCATGTTTGACAGTGACGTACGTATAGACACACGGGTAGAAACCACAGGTGATGGGTTGCGAAGAATGTCTTGGAGAACGAGCGATTCTCCAGATACGTGAGGTATTTCATGGCGCCCGTAATGAACTTGCCGTTAAGAATGAATGAAAGAGTGTCGATGTACCAGAGTAGCTGGTCTCCTGACACTGTCACCATCTGCAGGCAAAAACCCATTATCCGATTAGCATTTTGCAGAGTGGTTTGGAGAAGAGAGCACGTACCGCTACGCCGACTAGGAAGGGTTTGGAGAAATAGAGCGCCATGACCACCAGCACGAGCGATGCATTGCATGCCCACAGCAGCTCATACAAGATGTAGGTGCCTGTTGCGTTGACGAGTTTTCAGCACCTGAAGACGTCGCTACACAGCGATCAAAAATCTGTCCGTACCGTGCTCGTAGAAGCGGGAGATTGCCATCATCACCGTGTAGAGCGCGACGAAGGCCCCTACTTTGCTGTGGCGGATAACAAACACGAAGAAGTCAATTACTGAGCTACTCTCGGCTTTGTCGCTGCTGCCGCAAGGGCACGAACGGGAAGCTGAAGTTCTCGTCCTGTTCGTCAGCAGCAAAATAACCATCCAGCTGGAGCACTAGCCACGACACAGCAGCATAACCCAATACCAGGACGGCGAGAGCACGCGGTAGATCCTTCTGTGAAACTTGCACGGGTACAGGGGGCATAGGGGGCATGCTGGAGGTGGCAACAGGGAAAATAGTGCACCTTGCGATTCTTGCTTTTCGTCATGTACCGGTAGTGATACCGGTACTTAGTTTTTGAAGAAGACACGCCATTTACCCGAACAAGGCGAGCCTTCCGCCATACAAGTGTTGAGTATGCTTTTGCTGACTAGACGCAATACTTTGAGCTGCGACGACGTTCCCCGATTCCGCGTTGCAATTCAGCAGAATGCAGATGATAAGGACTACATTTACCCTTGCTAAGGAGCGAACTGTAGAGGAATGTGAAGAAGTGAATGTCGCTGCCGACGACGGGGCCGTTATGCAGTCGTATCACTGGCGAAAAAGAAATAACCTGCTGTCTTTGAATCGACAGGACGAGTGGCTCGTGGTCACGGACGACTTTATGCACGAATGAACTTGCACCTAACGTCACGTGGAATTTGGAACATCTCAATACCCATCACAGTAGCTGCAGTCTTCTCATAATCTTCTTTGCCTGTATCGTTGTTAGCGCTAGCACCTGACCTATAGAAGGCATATACGAGGTTCCCACGTTGGAGTAGAGTAAATTGCATCGTCTTATGCACCCAATTGGTGGTGCAGATGACGTAAATTAGTCGGAAAGGTGTCGACCAAATCCTTGGATCTTTACAAATCACACAAACCAGTGAAGCCAGTCAAATTGCAGCAGCGTCTCCGGTAAAAGTAAAGTTTCTCCAAAGGCCCAAAATTCCTTAAAACAATACAATTAATCATTATTTCCTGGGCGCATCCACTCTCCATACCTCGCGACATCAGCATTATCACCATCATCACCATCACAGAAACGGCACGAAACTCTGATGCATAGCTTCGTACCATGTAGCACTGAGACCGGCAGCATCCAGTGCAGACCCCCACACCGGGCTGATTGGACGAGCATGCAGTGCCTGTACGATGTCCTCATATTCGCAAATTGATAAATGGTCGAAGGAATCCGATGATGGAATTCCTCCTACCAACATCACGGGACCATTGGCATTGACTGCAGCGACCAGACCTGAAAACCAGGCTCGCAATACAACGCCAGACGCAGCAGCATTTGCTCCCTGTGGAACAGCAGCACCAGCAACTCCCAGACAAGCATGCAATGCTGCATCGTCCGCCCAACTGATCGCAATACCAGGATAGTTTTCATTCCCCACCTCCATCCGCTGCACCTATTCATCCCAAGTTGTGTCACTGCGCGAATCTTTGTCGTCGGAATCGTTCTTCTGTTCCCTTGTTGCGCTTGCGCCTCTTTCTCGCATCAATGCTTTTTTTTCGTTGGCAGTCAAGATCGATCAAGTCAGTGACTCAGACGGTATGAGACTGAAAATATCGGTATCGTGAACTACACATTTTCGTGGGTCTATCTTTTAGTATCGGAAAACCTTTTAGTAGCCCCCCCCCACCATAATAGTATTGTTAAAAAAGGAAATGAGGTCTAAAAAAAATCATGACTGTCTTTTTGTCCAAATATATACATTGAGATATTCCCATACGAAAAGGCCTAATTGACAACTGGAATTAAAGAAAGGACCAAGAGCTATAAATTGATGTATTTGTAAATGCAAGCTACACGTGGCATTATGGATAAACGGTTTACGATAGTACATTACGCTTGGCTTTTAATCAAAAATAATTTAACCCTAAATTTGAATGAATAGTGCGTAAAGCTACATGTACTCAAACTCACGCACTTGGACCTGACCAATTGCACGACAGCTGACCATCAATAGCATGCCTGATATCAAAGCGAGATAACAAGAGTTACAAGCAAAAACATCATTTTTTGCATTAGTAGAAGCGTTATTGTGCTTTGCATGTGAGATTGCCATCCATTTAAGCTTTTTTATTCAGAGTTTGCTGGATAGATATAACCGGCTCTAACAAAACGGACTTGATCTTATTTCGACTTTTTATCTCATAATAACGACCCCAGCCACCAACTAAACTGACATTCAGGTAACGACCAAGAAAAATGCCTGCGGTGAATCGTTTGGGTCCTATCAACGGCGGCCATACTGGGCTGCGTGTAAGTATTAGCTAAGAGGAACTGACGATCGTTCTAATGGTATGAATGTGTATGCGCTTGAGTTAATGTACGTTAGGCCCCCGTGGACGAGCAGCAGGCGAAGTACGTGCCGTCGCTCTCATAAAAGGTTTTCAGTGTGACCTTTTCGTATTCAAAGCTTGATATTGTGTGTATATTTAGGTAAACCCCGGTGAATTAACGTGAAAAACAGCAGCTACGTGAGTGATACCGTCTTGAAGTATGTGGGCATCGCTACTATCAATTTGTTAGCATTTTTGACGCGTTTGACCGTGGTATTTAGCTACACCTGAAAGAAAATAACCGCTCGAGGTGTCCATCCGAAGTTCAAAGGGATTAGGCAGCAGCATGGAGCCGCCGGGAAGCTAGATTTGCCGTGGCCATCAGAAGGCTCTATGAAGTAACATCATTTTGACGTACTTTCGGTCACATAGGCCAACATCTCTGATTGTACTATCTAAAACTACTTTATTGCGCGCAACGCTGACGGCAAGGAAAGAATCAATAAAACGGAACCCACGCGGGGGTAAAACCAAGAACTTCGATTTTATAGTTGGTGATCGGTTTGGTGTACTTCGCGCCAAAATACTTAGTCTTTTGGAGACGCGTCCTTTTCAAAGTCTTTGCCTTGACGACGATAAATATTACTTTCGAGCCAGTAAGGGTGCTCCCCAGCATCGGTACGAGGTCTATGACAGAAGCCAATTTCGTTGCGCTGTTGTCGCAAAGAGTGAAGCGCGTTTCTCGTAAGGATAAAGAAGCTTGGAATGGAGAAGTTTTCGAAAATTTAAGGTTCGAACTTTGTGCTTACTGTCGCGGTCGCGATAACCGTCCTACTATACATCGAGCTACGGCATCAAGAATTCAGCAGGCGACAGTGGCAGTGCAACAGCCCCAGCAGGAGAATGACATTACTCTAGCCCGATTACAATGAACCACTATTTATTGGCCAGCACTGACATATTACACGGATATGATTGTTTATCCAAAACAAAATAATATGAGACTGCGCGAGACATAACGATACTAATCAACCATTTGGAGTTATCGAGATATTCGCGTCTAAAGATCGCCCATGTGTTTTCGCACTTTATCGAGTAGCTGAAAATGTAACGGGCCAGGTATTTACTCCGTTACTTGCTTACACTATAGTGTTGAGGAAGCTCGCAATAGGACGACTGAGTCTTAGGTTTAAGGAAAAATCAACTCTGACTTTATTTTAGGACCAAGGCCACAGCCCTGGCCACTCAAATACACGTCATAGTCCAATTGGCTAATAATGGGTCTGGCTCCCCATATATCAGCCAATGGCATGACAGCATTTCAGCACACGCTAGTCGTGTGCTGATGCACCTACTTTTGTAAAGAAATCTACCTACTTATGTAATGGAGGGGCCCATTACAGAAAAAACAAGCGTCAAAGTTTTTCAGAAATTTGAAGCAGGTGTATCATTCCCGAACAGCGCACTCCAGCCTCGAGAATGCAGTGTCCCGAGACCGCAAGCAACACGACGGCACCCGCTCCTGCCGTCGCTGTTCCAGTGCCGTCCCCTGCTACCCCTGTCCTGGTCAATGCGGGAGAGCACGGCCCCCACCGTGCCACGAAGCAACCAGCCGACACCAGGGCGCACACAAACACGGCCACCGCCGACCTAACAAGTATTGCTCAACCTACTGCTCCTCGTGTCGCTTTGCCCTCCGCTACAGTACCTCAGCAGGAAGGGTTGCCTGCCAGCGATGAAGCAGATGAAGGGAGTGAAGACGAACAGGAGGGCGATGAGGAAGCTGACGACAGTGACGACGAAGATTGATGTGACGACAATGAAGATGAAGAGGAAGACGAGGAGGCAAGCACTGGTGAGAGTGGTGTAAGCGACGCAGCTGAAGAGGAGGAGGGCATAAGTATCAATTTGATTGAGGTGGGTCTGCAACAAACAGTGGCGGGTCTAATTCAGGCCGACAAGTGTGATCGCCGATGTCTTCAGGGAAAAGCCCAAGAACTTGAGTGGCTCGTGTGTTCAATCTCACAGATGACCAGATCAGAGAAGTTGACAAGCCTCTACACGATGCTGGGCGTTCTCATGCAGACGGATACTGTGAAGAGGCACCGAGGAGACGGAAAACGCGAGAAATTTCACTACTACCTGCCACTGGTTGGGAGAGTTTGCCGGCCCATGTTTGCAGAATGTCTCGGGGTAACTCCTTTGACTATCCAGCGATACAAGAAGCGTGTGCGCGAAGGAAACATTGCAGCTAAGGCGCACGGGAACACACTGAACAAGCACGCTTCTGTCATCGATCTCGTGTGGCTGGTGAAGTGGTTTAAAGAGTTCTCTGCGGAGATCGGGGAAGTAGTACCAGTGCGTGTTCGTCTGCAGAAGACGGCGAATGGCACAGTGAAAAAGTACTACAGCTCTGAGATGTACACTTTGCTGCCGCCGACGTTCACGTGGGATGCGATCTATGATGAAATGCACACATACGTGGAGGAAATAAGGATTCGAGTTCGGGAGCCAGCCAAGTCTACTATGAGGCAACTTTTAACGCTGCACTGCCCCAACATTCGCATCCGATCTGGCCGTTCAAACGTGTGTGACTTGTGTTCCATTTACCAGTCGCGAATGCGTGGAGGGGCTACCGCAGAGCAAACGGAGGAGTTGGGCAAGCACACACTGTCTGCTAGGGAAATGAGGTAATTTTGGATCTGGGATATGAGTATCATTTTGTTTTACTAGCAATTTCCAAGGTGGACACTAATATCATTTTATTTTGCTGGTGTATTTGTAGACAGGAATATAACAGGGATAAGGCTCTCGTAAAGACAGCAGAGGGCAAGGACGTCGCAGTAATCGTTATGGATTACTCTCAGAATCTGACTACTCCGTCCGTCACATCTACGCCGTCGCAATGGTACTTCTGCTCGTTGGTCTCTGTCAGTGTGTTTGGGATATACTACGAGAATGAAGGCAAGCAAACGAACTACATCTACGATGAGTCTTTCGGTGGGAAGGGAAGCGAGCAACTCAGCTCCACGCTGCAGCACTTTATCGACAATGTGCTGGTTCCTGCTGGCAAAAAACGATTGGTGATATACGCTGACAACTGCTCTGGCCAGAATAAAAATAACTACGTGATCAAGTTTCTGCTAGCACAAGCCCACATGGAGGTTTTTGAGAGCGTGGATTATAAGTTCTTCGTGAAAGGACACACTAAGAATTCATGTGACCGTGGCTTTGGTCATATTCGCAAGCACCTCGCCCGCACAGACTGCTGGACTTTGGGTCAGATTGTCCGAGAAGTAAAAGAAGCCGCTTCATCCAATGAAACTGTGCACATTTCACGGGACGATGGGTTCTTCAAGAGCTACAAGCCACTACTCACAGAGCTCTACAAAAAAATTGCTTGACGTGCAGCAGTTTCAAATATTTTTAATGGATTCCACGAAACCGGGGGTTGTGATCTGCAAAAAGGGCCCCACCAGCATTGCAGTGGAGAAGGATCTGCGTAGGAAGCTAGATGGCCATCTCACCGAACGCCACAAGGTGACGCGCATGTTCAGCAGCTACCTGGAGACGATATCGCGCCCTCCGCGAAATGCAGAAAAAATCGACCAAATGCATCGCACTATCAGGCCTTACGTCCTAGACGAGTATCAGTCAGATGCAATATACGCAGCTCCAAGTAAGCAGCAAGGGGACAGTGCTAAAGCCGCCAAACAAGCTCGTCGAGAGCACCGAGCGGCAATGGCAGTGACCGCGAAAGAGAACCAAGACAAACGCGGTAGGCAGGATGACGAAGATCAAACGGGAAACACTAAGAAGCGAAAAGCTGCATGCACTGGGGATGCTGTAGTGTAAGTTTGCCAAAATGTCCCGCCTAAATCAAAATGATACTGATGTCCATCACTAAATTTAGGCTTTTTTCCAGATTATACACATGGGTTCACTCGGATTTGATCACACAAATGCGGTTTTAGACACTTTCTACTGCGTTTTAGCCGAAACGAATAGCACCACGCGATTCTACGGGCGATTCTGCCTCAGACACTGCAATAAAAAAAAATGAAAAGTTGGTCATCCACCGAGGTAAGTTTTCCAGAGGCTCACCACTTCGTCAATATCTCGTGTCCGAAGGTGTGCAAGGGCTCAAAACGAAGCCAAGATACATAGGTTTGTGTTGGTGCGCCTAAATCGCGATTCGTACCTAGGTTGATTAGTATACTTATGTTTCACGCGGTCTCATATATGCTTGGCCATTAATGATGATACTAATCTTAAGAGAGGTCGGATAAGTGATGACATTCTTCCATAAAAAGTAAAATGAGTCATTGATTAAGAAAGTCGCTCCTCTACACCGTTCACACTAACTTATTAATAGTCGTAGCTCGCAATTAGTCGCACTTCAGTGACTTCTCAAAGATTTGGTAATATATGTCGAAGATGGAGTATTTGACAACCGAATCTAAGGAAAAAGACCGGTTTTGAGCAGGTCTCATCGGAGCAGTAGTACTGTACCTCCGCTCGGAAAATTAATCACATTTAAAAAAAAAGATTTCGCAGCGCTCTGCCTCGTTCTTTTTCATGATTATAAAGTTTGCGGAGGGCTGCTGATCCTTATGTAAAACAGGTGCATGCCCAGTGGGAACCGTGCTGCCACCTTAGCTGTGCCAAGCAAGACTGCATTCGAGGAGCTTTGACCTTTGAAACGAAATCGACCCGGGCTTAATGTTCAAATTGCTCAAATGCCGGTGTGCTTGTTCCACCACCTGCAGGCGCTCTTGCTCGCCATTTCAGCAGCTAGTTCGTAAAGATTACTGAATCCGTGAGCCACTGCAGAGACGTTTGCCTCGAGCATGCGCTAGACTTGATTCACGACATCAACGCCATCCGCTGTCGTGAATCAAGTTTAGCACGGGCTTCGATCTGTACACCACAAATAGTCAGGGTATGACTAATTAGCGTGAATGGTATTTATATAAAATACATGTATTCTCTATTCAGGCACACGAGTTTTGGATTCCGGTAATGATACCGGTACTTAGTCTATTGCCGGTGACGCCCCTTTGCTGACGCGCCATACTGCTTCAAGTAGCGCTGCAAGTCCATGCTATTAGCGTACGTGGTGGCCTGCGCTACGCCTCGGTGCAGATACAACCGCAACAGTTCGTTCGTGTAGCGTAGTAAGTCGGGCATAGCATTCTGCTCGTCGCCATTGAAGCGTCCAAGCACGTACTTGTCCATCGCCGTTCCTGACGGAGCGCCACTGTTACCTCCCGCAAACCAGTAGGGTGCACCCACACCAATGCGGAGGCGAGCGAAGCGTTCAGAACCTGTGCACTTGATGATATCACGCACGCCGTTCTGACCGCCAGGACCTCCTTTCGCCTTGAAGCGGCACTCGCCGAATGGCAGCGCTACGTCGTCGGTGACCACAAGCAACTCGTCCTGTCGATTCAGAGACAGCGGGTTCTTTTTGAGTCGCCAGCGATGTGACTGCATAAAGGCCCGAACGGCAGTGCCAGAGCAATTCATGTACGTCGTCGGCAGCAGCATCGCGACATTTACTTCTTCATGTGGAACGCCTTCCTTTAAAGTCCGCTCCTTGGCACGCTTCGATGAGCGGTTCACCAAGTCGTCGATAGGGAAACTGTAGTCCTTGTCAGCTGCATTCTGTTGGAATGCAACGCGGAACCGGGCGACGTCGCCGTGGTTGCCTGCTTCATGCTGTAGCTCCAGGTTCTTGCCCTGCAAAACCAATTAATAATGATGAACATCGTAGCTACTGATACGAATGTTTGGCATTCAACCCTCTAAAGGTAGTAGCAGCTACGCACCGTCACTTGTGATGCGTACGTCTCGAGGAAGTGCCTCATTGCAGCAAAACCAATGTTGTGTCTGAACAGCAAAAGTGCAAATACTTACAGTGAATACATAATGCTTCACTTAATGAGAGTGCGCAAGTGGAGCAGAGTGCACACCTTGTGTTTGTATACTTGTTGCCAGGGTTGCCGAGCCCCACGATCAGTTTCCGGACGTGATCGTACTTGGGTGGGGAAGCCGAAGGTGCAGTCTTCTCATTAGCTTCATCGTTGCTTAAGCTAGCGTCTGAGCTGGAGAAGGCAGATATCAGCAGGTTTCCGCGTTGGCGTAGAGGAACTCGCACCGGTAGACGCAGCATCTTGGGGAGTGCAGCAGACGCAAATTGGTCTAAAAAGGTGTGGGTCAAATCCTCGGATCTACACAAATCACAAATTAGTGAAGCCATGAACAGGTCCAAGCTGCGGCAGCGTCTCTCGAGAGCTCCGTAAAGCCCTTTGTAGTATGCACGCTGGAGCTGTATCTTTCGCTTTTGCTTATGGTGTCGCTTTTTCAAAGTCCGGATCCGAGTAAGCGTGACGTGCAGGAGCTACACACCACGTACTTCATGGCGTGGGTTCCTCTGGTCTCCACAGTGACATTGCTCTACAGTGGCAAACTGCTGGGCAAATACGGTCCAAGCCCAGACAACTTTGACAGGAATCTTATGGGTCTGAAGATCACCATGTGGGTGTACGCGTTCGTGGAGCTTGTGCTGGATAAGAACATGGTGATCAAAAGCGGACCGGCGCTGTCTGTAGCCATAATCTTCTGCGTTTGCGATATGTTGCGATTCCAAATAGAAGCTATGCGATTGATCTACGATGATGATGAGCTGGAAGACGAGGTTGATCGACTCGCCAATATGGTTATTGAAGCTCTGGAGGACAGCGACGACGAAACGGCATTCAAGCACGCCGTCCGAGAGGTGATCCAGCGGAACCGTCAGCAGTCAGCTGCTGCAATGCAAGAAAGCGTCAGCGAACCGCAAGACACTACCACTAATTCTCCTTATGAAAAGCATATCCGTACTAAAGGACTCCACAGCAAGGAGGAGGACATCACCGAGTACGGGACGCTCAAGTACCGCGGAGATCCATTATAGTCCAAAATAGTCCAATAAAATGTATTGTTGCAAATCACACAAACTGCCCGCATTCCTGTGGTCAAGATGATGCATCGGCGCGCGCTGGCCAAGACGCTGCGCGAGGCGTCTCCGTTCTTTCTCATCGCTGGGCCATGTGTACTAGAGTCGGAGCCAGTCGTGATGTCCATCGCGGACCGGTACGCGCAGCTACGGCATCATATTACCATGGTGATAAGCGTCTGTGATGACCACTATTTTTCTTGTCTTTTGCAGCTTAGCTTCAGTACAGAAGAACCTGGATATCCCCGTAATCTTCAAAGCTAGTTTTGATAAAGCCAACCGCCAGGATCTCAAGAGCTATCGAGGCCCTGGAATGGAGCGTGGACTGGAAATGTTGCAGCAAGTGAAGGACACAACGGGTCTTCAAGTGCTCACGGACGTACATGAGACCCACCAAGTGGCCCCAGTTGCTGAGGTAGCAGATATTATCCAGATCCCAGCGTTTCTGAGTCGGCAGACGGATCTGCTTGTGGCTGCTGCGAATTCTGGGAGACTGGTGAACCTAAAGAAGGGACAGATGTTGTCGGCGGAGACTATGGTGCGTTGGAGTCCGCCTGTAGAATGTGGATTTGGTGCATTGCATTGACGGGTGCTGATGTGTATTACTGTATGCATAGTTACTAGCCGCCAAGAAGCTTGCAATCACACAGGACGATTCTGGTACAGAGATATTGGTTGAGAATCATTCGTTTGAGGTGGCTAATGTGGAGTATGGCACAGACTTTATTCTAACAGAACGTGGGAGTATGTTTGGCTACGGAGACTTGGTGGTTGATGCCAGAAATCTCCCAAAGTTGCAGCGATCCAATGGGCTTGTTGTTCAGGATGTCACTCACAGGTAAGAACAGCAGGTTAGATTACACAAGATTTAATTTTTGATAATGTTCTGCTGCAAAGTATTCAACGACCAAGTGGTGCGCACGCCGGAGCCACTACAAGTGGCGGTGATCGCGAGTATATCCCGACAATAGCGAGAATGGCTGCAGCTGTTGGTGTTGATGGCTTTTTCTTCGAGACGCATCTTGATCCGACGAAGGCACTCTGTGACGCAGCTACGATGCTTCCAATTGATGAGCTCGAGCCTCTTCTGAAGGAGCTGATCGCGATCTCTCGAGCATCCAAGGCCTTGTCATAGCGGAATCATCATTGAAATATTATGCTACGGATCGCGTAAGCTCTCTTCGACGACCGGCAGTGGGTGGTCTTTCTTCCAAATCTTCCTCATCATGCGGTTGATTTTCCTGTTGAATCGATCAGGTCGAGGCTGCTTCGTTTTAGGGTTTACGGATCGACGTCTAGGTTTTGGTATCTTCGGTTTTCGAGGTAGTCGACAATGCTCATGGTCGCCACCTTTCTGATTTGCTGTAATATCTCCAAGAATTTTGGTTCGTATTCCGATATATTGCTCCATATTGGACATCCGTTTGACCTTCCGCACCATTTCATGTTTGTATTGATCCGCTAAATCCTCGGTAAACGTCCCCTTCCGCACGTCTTCAACTTTAATAGCTGGCAAACTCTGCTCTTCGTTTCTCTCTTGAGAGTGTTCGTATCTTGCATATAGACCGTCAGTTGCCTTGTAAAGTTTGGGAAAGTCAGAACCAGCAAGTTTTCTTGGGATGCTCAGAATACTAATATGATTTCCTTCGGATGAGCTTTCCGGAACAGCTTGAAGCTTTTCGGATTGACACGAGTTGTTCAATTCGTTATGTGCGGCAAATTTTAAACTTGGACTTCGAAGTCTTCGTGGTGCTAATAAACTTGGAGGACCTGGTTGTATGGGCCGCGCTGGTTGATTTTGTACAGGAACCGCGTTTGGGATTGCGCCTGTAGACTTAGAAATAGCCACAAGAATCTTTTTCGCTGCAGTTGATTCTCCTGCGGAATGTGCTAAGTGGTTACTTTCATTCAAAGCCAGAATCTTGAGTTTGTTTTTCTTGGCACTCGCGCTCTTTTGTCGGTCTTCTTGCTTCTTCTTCGACGCTACCAGACCTGCACAACATGCGTCTCCAGTCGTGTGATCTGGATTTCCACACCAGCCACAAAGACACTTCCCGTCTTGCATCATAGCCTTAGTAGAGCTGTAGTAAAACACCACACAGCTTAATAAAATGTGACAGTTGCACTTAGATAATACTTGAAGTATACAATCAAAGCGTACATTGTGAGAATCAATCCTGGGTTTGCCAGAGCTAGCTTTACCCTCGTCTTGCGCCAATTCTCTCGAGCGTCAGCCAGCTTGCGGAATTTACTGAAAGATTCTCGGATGTGATCCAGTGCGTGCATATAAAACAACTCCTTCCAAGTATCTCTCTACGATAAGAAGAAACAAAAAATAGTACGTTATAAGCACATCGCTGACACAAAAGGATGTTGGTACTTGCATCCATAGCGAGAGCTTTCACGTCCGTCACTTTAAAACAAGCCACGGAGATTAGTATTTAAAGAGCATCCTAATGGAGATAAGCACGTACCTGCAAGTAAGTCGGTGCTGCACGTGGGCTTACTGAAAATGACCGGATACTCGGCACAAATGTCGTGGTCTTGATATAAACTAAGCTCGAGCTCTGTACGTCGTCGCTGCTGGTTACAAAGTTTGCCTCCAAGGCCTTGCATCCTTCGTTTTGCGAGGTTACTTTCTAGTTCTGCACAGCGCTGGATGCTCCCGTTCTCGTTTAAAAGTTGAACCATGGGGACGGTTTCCTGGACCAAACCTGCGTAGATGAAGAACACGACGTTGGCTTCGGCCCCAATTCGAGTGAGGTAGCTGTCAGCTGAGTAGTGTACTTGCTTTAAGCGGTTTGAAAGTCTCGTGAGCTCCCCGTGAGGCCAGCCTTCGAAGAAATACATGGTTTCGAGGAACTCGATCTGCGTGAAGTCGAGCTGAGAGGAGTTCGTAACACGGATAAGGCGTTGATAAGCTCCTCGTTTCAGGCAGATAAAGGACGTGGGCTCATCGCACGTAATGGTACACGACCTCCGCGCTGTTGGGTCCATCACAGCCAGCTCACCGAAAGTGCCACCGTCAGTGATATGCTTTATAAACGCGCCGTATTGATCTGGTTTCAGCCTCACGTCTTCTTCATCTGTTGACAAAGTATTGGCGTTGTTGTCGTCTTCGGGTACAAACTTTGGTTTGGGTTTCGCGTTGATGAAGAGAGACACGGAGCCCGATATGATAATGTAGAAGGTGTCGCCATAGTCACCTTGATAGCACACTACACCGTGAGGTGGCAATTCCAACAACGTCATCTCCCGACAAATAGTTTTACAGATAATCTCTTGAGCACCTTGGAAGATCTTGTTCGTGCTGCCATTTTTGAGCACCCACTCGTACAGCGTGTCGATCTCGTGGGCGTCACGGACTTCCGGGGCTCTCTCTAAAATACGGTAAATCTCCTTCACTTCTTGCTGGCGTTGGCGTTGAGCGTCCGTCTCCAAGTGCGACTGAACTTGCTCTTGTAGTTGGCACAGGAACGAATTCTTCCGTAGTGTAGGAAACCGTTTGAGTCCATGAGCCTTCCCTAGTGGTAAAGGCGACTTGGCACCGTCAGTGGGGGGAAGGAAAGATACTTGCATAGCAGGATCTTCAATAATATTTTCGAGATGGGAACTCCTGTAACAAGTCCCTAAATAAAAACAAGTTTCAAATGTAATCCAGAAAATACCGTTGATAACCAACGTTAGCAGTACCAGTTAGTAACTTCAAGCACATTGTGACTTTGTATTACCACTTGAGTCGACGGAGCTCTGCGCTGCGCCGAGCCGAACCAAAATTTGTCAGCAATAAACTGCATAGCAAAATCTACAGGATCTTCTTTCGTAGCACTTCGTTGGCGGCTTCCTCTTCCGCGGTCACGTCGCTACGGTGGATGAGGTATCGAAAGTGCTGGGCCGAGCGGATCTCCATCTCGAAGGACATGAGGAACTTCTTGTCCACAGGGTCGATCAGGTGCAGAATACGGTACTGCTGGTCGCGGTTGGCCTCGAACCACGTGTCGCAGCGGTCGAAGAACAGCACGTTGTTCCATTGCATGGACTCCTTGGAAGCCTTGTCGTAGAACTCCTTGAAGCGGTCAATGTGGATGCACACGTGGTGGCCATCGTACTCGCCCTTGCTGTCCTTCTGGGACTCCTGCTCGTCAAAGACGATCGCTTGCAAGGGACCACAGAACACCGTCGTGCAGTAGAGCTCCACATTGCCTTCCTTCTTAGTGACCACGGTCTTGGCACCCAAGTAGTACTCGAAGAAGCGGGAAATCCCTTGAGCGATACCCGGACGACACGGGTACACCAGGAACGGGAGACCCTGAGCCACACCGGGAACATCGTCCGTAACGGGCAGTGTCTTACCTAGCGACAGGTTAATCGAGTTGTAATTACGCGGCGTGACATTGAGACGCAGCTCGTTACCGTACGGGTCGTTCACCTTAAGGTGGTCGTACTTAGTCGCGTCGAACATCTCGTGCCATTTCTCCTGCGGGTAGTCGATAGTGGTCTCTCCGCCGCGGTTAATGCGCTCGAAAGCGAACTTGGTGCCCTTAAGCTCGTCAGCAATAGACTCGAGGCTCTTCTCGATAGCGTCCAGGTCAGGCACGTAGAGGTAGATAGTGGCATTGATGCACTCGCTCTTGGGCTGGCTCGTGAACAGGTGGAACTGGTGCCGACCGGCATAATTCGCCCAGAAGTGGTAGGCCAGACGAGGATCGCGCGAGCACTGCAGGCCGCGCATGTAGAAAATGTAAACGGGGGACTCCTCCGTACACTTCTCCGTGTTGGACAGGTTGATATGCTCAAGGAACTTGAGGTTGCCCGCGTCCTCGAAGGCCTTGATCACCTCCTCTTTGCTCCACGTTACCTCGCTCATGTTTCTTGGACGAGTGTGTCGGATTACCGTCAATTGTGGAATGATTCTGCAAATGTGTGGCTCCAGTGAATGGCTACATTGAAAAATCTGACAAGCGACCAATCGCAGCACCGCATTTCGACAACGCATCCGTCGGTGTGGCGCACCCAAAAACACGCAGACGAAATATTTAAGACAACACCTTCTCAAACTAAGTACGACCATCACTCTGGGTTGAAGTGAAGGGACGGGCAACGGTTTCCGCACTCGCCAAGATCCCGCGCCGATGGAGCCCAAGTCCGGCAAGCTGCACAAGGTACTGTGCCTTCATGACAAAGCTTTGTGCCCTCCATTGTGCGAACGTGTGTTCCCTTATGCCACCGCAGCTTGGATTGGGCTTGTTTGGTCCCAAATGGACCGAGAAGTGGGTACATCTGGACGGCACGTTGCTCAAATGCTTCCCCATGGCTGTAGAGCAGCAAGTTTTCTCACTCGGCAGCTCGCGTCAGAGCAGCTCGTATGAGCTCACAGACTACAAGCTCGCAGTGGCGGACGAGGTCCGTATATCCCAATACCAAAACAAAAGAGCGTTGAAGTCACATTCTGCGCTTTGATGTAGAAAAAAGTGAACCGCAAGTTTGCCTTCCAACTAGAGACTATAGCGAAGGTAAGTGTTGCAGTATACTGTGTATAATGAGCGGGGCACGACTGAGGAGTATGTGAAGTCGTCGAAGCCAGTGACGTTTGCGTGCTCGTCCGAGAAGGAATTGGCGGAGTGGCGATTCGCACTTACAGTACGTCTGTGTTCTCTACGATGCAAGATGGAGGTATTGAGTATATGTTATCTACATCTTTAGACGCGACTATGTCTTCCATCTGATGCTCCAGTTTCTCCGGTGTAATGATCCTCATCGAACCTTGAGGATGAGAAAGCAGAAATTCACGTCATGTTTGTGTCATCCTAGAATCTCTGAGAAAATTCGTCGGGCGGCAGAAGCCTTCTCTGAGGTAAATTCATTTTATTGAGCTGGAATCACTACTATACAATGTATTGATGTGACATCATTGAAATGGCTGCAGATTGATCCGCGGAACACAGGGAAAATCGATTCAGGAAAGCTCCGTGGTCTTCTTCGAACTATATCCTTTCACACCAGACGATGACGCGTACATGTTTGAACTCTAGATACTATGTGTGGCTCCTTACATCGAAGTTGTTTTGATTTTTCCACATAGGTTGGGAGGGAAAGGACTCGGAGCTTGCACTGATGCAACAACAACTTGATCTCGGTCGCCATGGAGTAATTACTCGAACGAGACTGTTGACCTGGCTTCAGAGTTACTATTGCGCACAAGAAGTGATGAACCGAGTAAAAGCGGAGCGTACTAACAACCAGATTGCTGTCGAAGTAAGCAAACCACCAGAACTGACCGAGAGAACTTCGTCTCGTAGCTCAAGTGCTCGTGTCGCGGCATCAAAACTCTTGATTTGCCAAGTAAAAACGGATTGGGATCAAAGATACAACGATCTCCTGTCTAAAGGCGTATCCACCGATGTGTTAACTACCGGATCTGAGATATCAGGTATTCTAGCGGAGTTTCGCCAAGCTGCCGAGGTAATAGTGAGTGAAATTGTAGCGGAGATGACTTTAGAGGACGCGCACAAGACGTTGCAGCCTCAGAGTCTTGATGATGACGAGGTTTTCGCGACGGATGGCGTTCAGCAGTATAGCGCTCTGCTTCGTGTGATGCTAAAGTTCCAACGGGACGGGTTACTGGTTTACTTGTGCTCTAGCAGCTCATCAAGTGGTGCGGCACGTGAAAAGAAGCAAAATACAGCATCCATAGCAATATTCCATAGAATGGTCGGCCATCAAGTTCGTGCTGCGAGGACAATACATGAAGCCATCGAGGAAACTAAGAACGATCCACAAGCCAGGCGAGCAAACCATCTTCGTCGATTCTGGCACGCTTAGGAGATGACGGTCCATCACTTCCACGCTCCACATCTTCATCGTCACCATTCCCAAGTAGAAGTAATGGCTCACGAGGGCGCGTAGATCGTTCCGTTTCAGGATGGAAGATCATCCGGTCCTCATGGAACGATGGAGGCTGCGAATGGAACGTTGCCAAATCCAACCCATTTAACCTGGGTTCCTCCGGCGCGGGTAGCTGCTGTATTTCTGCGTTCCGTTCCGGTTCAAGGTCGTCCATCTCAATGTCTTGAGCAGGCTCCTCTGCTTCTTCCATCGGTTCATCCTGAGCAGGCTTACGTTCCACTCCCGATATTGGAACGATCGTATCATCGTTCCTCGTCACATGGATGACCGTTCCTGAAGCTGGCGACTGCGTGTCATAGATTCCGCCCACCTCACGCTCGTCCAGCTTGACCGACCGTGTCACCTTGACCTTCGACGCATCCATGTCGTACACACGATATCCTTTCACGTTCTCAGCGTACCCGAGGAACGTGCACTG